CGCCGCGGCGCCGCGCGCGCGCGGCGAGCGCGGCCGCGGGCCGCTCCGCGGCCGCGAGCCGCGCGGCGCGCGCGCGCCGGCGGGTCCGCGCGGCCTCGCCCCGCGCGACGCGCGCGCCCGTCGCGAGGACGCAGGCCGTCGCGAGCGCGCGCGACGCCGACGCCTCGGCGTCGAGCGCCGCGGCGAGCGCGTCGGTCTCGGGCGAGCCGAGCGCGGCCGCGCGGGCCCGGGCGTCCGCGGCCTCGGCGGCGTCGCGCTGCGCCCGACCGTCCGCGGCGTCGCGCGCCCGGTCCGCGCCCCGCGCCGCCGCGTCGAGCGCCGCGCGCTCGCCCGACGCGTCCGCGCGGTCGAGCGCCGCGGCCGCCGCCGCGCAGTATGCGGCCTCGGCCTCGCAGGCGTCGACGCGCCGCGCCGCCGACGCCTGCGCGCCCCGGGCCGACGACGCCGACGCCGCCAGGCCCGACCCGGCGCAGCGCAGCGACGCCACGGCCGCCTCGCTCTCGCCGACGGCCGCCGCCAGCGTCGACCGCGCGTGGGCCACCTCCTTGTCCAGCGCGTTCGCCAGCGCGCGCCGCCCCCGCAGGTCCACGGGCTCCAGCGAGGAGACCGACGAGCGGCGAGACATGATGCGCATTCGGCCCTCAAATCACAGAGCCATTTGAATGCTCAAAAGTTCAACCAAAAATTTATTTGTGGCAAAAATTGAGCGTGCGGATGGTGTACTCGATGGTCCCTGTTCGCCTCTTCGTTGCTGCAATCCTCTCAGCGCATGCCTTCGCGCCGCCGCGGCCGCACGCGACGCTGCGGCGCGTCGCGCGGCCCGCGGTCGCCGCCGGGCCGCCGGACCGCTGGAGCTGGAGCGGCCCCGTGGTGCCGCCGGCGCCGGCGGCGCTGGCGGAGACCAAGGGCGCCCAGAAGCGGTTCGTCTTCCTGCTGGCCTTCAACGCGGGGCTCGCGGACCTCGTGCTCGTCCGCACCTACGGCTGCTACGCGACGATGATGACGGGGACGACCGTCGAGGGCGTCGCCGCGGCCGCCGGCGCGAGGTGGGCGGACGCGGCGTTCTTCGGGGGCATGGTTGCGAGCTACCTCAGCGGCGTCGGCGCCTTCCGGATCCTCAACGAGCGCTTCGTCCGCGGCCGGAAGGCGAACCGGGTCCTCGCGCCCGCGGTGCTGCTGCTCTTCGTCGGCGCGGACGCGTTCGGGCCCGCGAGGCTGGGGGTGCTCTGGTGCGCCGCCGGCTTCGGCCTCGTCAACGCGCTGTCCTTGGACGTGCTCCTCACGAACACGCAGCTGCTGACCGTGCACCTGCACAAGCTCGCGAACCTCGCCGTCGACTTCGCGGGCCTCGCGGGGAGAGAGGCGAGGGCCAGGGCCAAGCTCAGCGACGTGAACAAGCGCAGCCTGGCCGTCGTCGGCGCCTTCGGCCTCGGCGTCGCCGCCGGCGCGGGCCTCTGCGCCGCGCTGCCCGGCTTCGTCGCCCGCGGCTTCCAGGCGGCGCTCGGCGCGTCCTACGCGCTCATCCTCCTCTCGCACGACCGCGGCGCGCTGCGGAGCCCCAGATAACCATGACACGGGATGCACTGGGGCGGCGCGGTCGAGCTCTAGGTGCAACTTTGAAGTGCTCAAATAAAAATGAGGCCAATATTGTCGACAGAAAAAATAACGATGAAGCGGTGAGGAAAGCAGTCCAAGCCCGCTGACATCTTCGGGCAATGGTCCGCCACAGGCTTTGTTTTGCGCTCGGCGCGTGCGCCGCGGTGCAGGCCTTCGCGCCGCCGCGGCCGCACGCGACGCGGCGGCGCGTCGCGAGGCACGTCGCAACCCTCGCCGCCGGGCCGCCGACGCGCTGGTGCTGGAGCGGGCCCGTGGTGCAGCCCGCGCCGGCGCTGGCGACGCCGGCGGCGGCGGCGCCGGCGGCGGCGACGCCGGCGGCCACGGGCGCGCAGAAGCGGCTCGTCTTCCTGCTGGCCTTTTGCGCGGGCCTCGCGGACCTCGTGCTCGTGCGCAAGCACGGCTGCTTCGCGACGATGATGACCGGGAACCTCATCAAGGGCATCACCGCGGGCATCGACGCGCGATGGGCGGACGCGGCGTTCTTCGCGAGCATGGTGACGGTCTACCTCAGCGGCGTCGGCGCCTTCCGGGTCCTCGACGAGCGCTTCGGCCGCGACCGGTCGCCGAGGGTGAACCGGGTCCTCGCGCCCGCGGTGCTGTTTTTCTTCGTCGGCGCGGACGCCTTCGGGCACGACGCGCCGCGCGCGGGCGCGCTCTGGTGCGCCGCCGGCTTCGGCCTCGTCAACTCCGTGTCCCTGGACGTGCTCCTGACGATCACCTGCATGCTGACCGTGCACATGCACAAGCTCACGAACCTCGCCGTCGACTTCGCGGGCCTCGCGGGGCGAGAGGCCAGGGCCCGGGCCAAGGTCACCCCCGTGAACAAGCGCAGCATCACCGCCATCGGCGCCTTCGGCCTCGGCGTCGCCGCCGGCGTGGTCCTCTTCGCCGCCTTCCCGGGCTTCGTCGCCCGCGGCTTCCAGACGGCGCTCGGCCTGTCCTACTTTTGCATCCTCCTCTCGCACGACCGCGGCAGGCTGCGGCGCGACATGCCCGGCCGGACGCTCCTCGGCGGCGACCACCCGCCCGCGTCGCACGCAGGAGGGGGCAAGTAACATAGATTATTTTACCCGGCGCTCGGGATCGCGTCGTAGCGGCGCCGGAACCGCTCCACGGCGACGGCGTCGAGGCCCTCGACGTAGCCGTTCGCGTCCTGGAACGTCGCGTGGAGCAGGCCCCGGAGGAACGCGTTCGGCGAGTCCGCGGGGCTCGGCGCGTCGTGCATCCAGTCGCGCGCGGCGCCGTCGGGCTGGCGCAGCGCGAAGCCCGCGCGCCGCAGGTCGCGGCTCCGCGCCATGGCCGCGACGCGCGCGGCGCGGCGGAAGAGCGGGTCCGCGTCCCGCCGCGGGAACGGCGGCCGCTTCCAGCCCTTGCGGAAGCTGATGTGGTCGAAGAAGCCCGCGTAGGCGTCGTATATCGCGGCCGCCTGCGCGCGCTCGTCCGCCGACGCCGGCGCCGCGGGGCCCTCGCCGAGCAGGAGCGGCGGCGTTTCGCGCGTCGCGAGCGTCGCCGGCGCGTCGTCGCCGCCGTCCGCGGCGTCCTCGTAGGCGGCCTGGACGTGGACCGCGCGCACCTCGTCGTCGTCGCCGGACAGCGGCACCTCCGTCGTCGATTCCCCGAACCGCCGCTCCGGCGGGTAGCCCAGGATCGACAAGAGGTCGTCGACGCCGTCGCCGCCGTCGTCCTCGTCGAAGCGCTGGCACGCGCAGAAGAAGCAGCCCGGCGGCCGCGGCGGCGGCCGCCGCCGCTCCGTCGCGAAGCACCCGTCCTCCTCCCACTCGCCGTCGTCGACGTCGGCGTTGGCGCGCGGGTCCTCGTCGGCGACGCGCCGCGGGTCCTCGCCGCGGTCCCGGCGCGGCGCGCTCTTCCGGCTCGACCGAGGCATGTTCAGAGCGACGGCCGCATCATTGATGGGGCACTCAGGGCGATCATAACCGAGGGGCAGCCTTCTTGAACAGCTCGAGCGGCCCGCATCATTGTTATTTGACCCGATGATGCAGTCCGCAGCATGGAGCTACCCCCTCGCGTCGACGACGACGACAGCGACGGCGACGGCGACCCCCGTGCCGCGAACATGGAGCCGGCTCGTCGCATCGACGACAGCGACGACGACACCGACCGTGCCCTCGAAGGCGCGATCGAGGCGTACGCGTCGTCGCACCCGGAGCTGAGCGCCGTCGAGCTGCTGCGCGCCTTCCACGTGCGCCGGTACCTCTGGCCGGGGCTCACGGACGAGGAGGCGGCGTCCGACGCCGCCGTCCCCGAGGCGCGCATCGCCGCCGCGCCGCGCGCCGCGCTCGTGTCCTGCGTCGCCTCGTGGATCCGCACGCGCGAGAGCGAGGACGCGCTCCGGCGGAAGCTCGCCGCCGCGGCGCGCGTCGTCGTCGTCCACGGGCGCCTCGACGGCGGCGCGCTCGACGCGCTGCGCGCGCTCGCGCCCGGCCCCGCGCGGAAGCGCGCGCGCGTCGCGGCGCCGGCCGAGCCGCCCGCCGTCGCGGCGCCCGCCGGGGACCCCGTGCGCGCCGTCGGCGCCGCCGAGGCCGCGCGGCTCGGCGCGCGCCTCGCGCGCGAGGGCTGCGTCGTTTTGGACGGCCTCGTCGACGCGGCCTACCTGTCGTCGCGGGAGCCGGCGATCCGCGCCGCGTGGCTGCCGCGCGAGCTCAACTTCTACCCGGACTGGCGGAGCTCGGACTTCTTCCTCAACGGGCCGTCGGAGCCGCGCGTGCCCATCAACGCGGCCCTGACGCCGCTCGGCGCCGCGCTCGCGGGCGGCGTCGCGCGCGCGGCGTCCGCGGTCGCCGGCGAGGACCTCGTCGTCCTCCAGGGCAACGCGACGCTCTACTCGACGCGGACGAACCGGACGCTCGCCGACCACCGCGACGGGTCGCCCTACTCCGTCGTCGTCCACGTGTCGGCGACGTCGCCGGCGACGGCGGGGCTCGAGATCGACGCGGGGGAAGGCTTCCGGCGCGTCGTCTTCGGCGACGTCGGGTCCGCCGCGCTGCTCCGCGGCGACGAGCACGTCCACCGGAGCGTGCCCGTGGACCGCGGCGACCGCCTCGTGCTCGTCTTCTTCCTCGACCGCCGCGGCGGCGCGCGCGCGGCCCACCCGGCGACGCCGCAAGTCGCGGAGCTCCTGTTCTACCCGACGGACGGCGCGGCCGCGCCGGACTTCGGGGACCGCGTCGCCGGCGACCTCGGCGACGCGATCGACGCCGCGGACGCGACGCTCGTCGTCGGCGTCGACGTCCTCCCGCCGGCGCTCGCGGCCGCGCGCCACCGGCGCGGCGTCTCCGCAGAGTTTTCGCGGTCGCCCCGCGCGGGCCTCTGCGACTTTTCCTACGCGGGCCCGCCCGCGCGGTCCCTCGCCTTCGCGCTCGGCGTCGCCTAAAGTGAGAAGCCCGTCTGGAGCCACCCGAGGCCCGTCCTCAGGTTGCCTCTGGGGTCTGGGCCTCGAGCTAAAGTTAGAAGCCCGTCTGGAGCCACCCGTCCTGCTTCTGGGCCTCGAGCTGGCGGTCGACGGCGCGGACCGTGTCGAGGTCGCCGCGCTTGTAGGCCTGCTGCTGCTTCTGGCGGAGGATCTCGAGGTCCTTGAGCTCCTGGCGCTTGCCCTCGCCCATGCGCGCCGCCGCGGACCGCGCGTCGGCCTCCTCGTTGGCGCGGTCGCGGGCCTCGCGCTCGCGGCGCCGCGCGGCCTCGACCTGGGCCTCGTCGTCGAAGGCCGTCATCTCGCCGCCGGCCTTGCGCTCGCCGCGCTTGCGCCGCTCGTACTCCGCGAGCTCCCAGCGCTCGAGGTCGTAGTACTTGTCGTCGGGCATCGTCGCCGTGTTGTAGTCCTCGGCGAACTCGTTGAAGAGCTCCATGAGCTCGCGCTTCGAGCCCGTGAAGGCGGGCAGCTTCTTGACCTCGACGCACCACGCCTCGAACTCGCGGCGCTTGCGGAAGTAGTCGCTCTCGCGGACGACGCCGTACTTGCCGAACTCGTTCTGGTCGCAGGCGCCGAGCTTCGGCTTCTTCGCCTTCTTCTCCTTCTTCTTGGCCTTCTTCTTCTCCTTCTTCTTCTTCTTCTTCTTCTTCTCCTTCTTCGCCTTCTTGCTGTCCTTCTTCCGCTCCTTCTTCGACCGCTTCCGCTCGGGCGCGGCGTCGCGCGCGGCGCCGCCGTCCTCGTCGTCGTCGGAGCCCACGGTCGCCCACTGGCGCTTGCGCTTGAGCACGGCGTCGCGCTGCGCGTCGCGCTGCGCCTGCTCCGCGTCGCTGTCGCTGGAGGAGCTGCTGGAGCTGCTGGAGGAGGAGGAGCGGCCCATGGCGGTCGTGTCGCGCGGCGGCGGCGGAGGCGTTGGGCGCGGCGGCGGCGGAAGCGTTGGGCGCGGCGGCGGCGGAGGCGTTGGGCGCGCGGGCTCGGCTGCGGAGTGGCTCACAGCGGCGTGCCCATGCTCTCTGTGGCAACAAAGAGCATGGAGATGCGCTGAGAGCACCTCTGCGCCGTCGGACAAGAGCTGAGAGCAGCTCGCCGCCGTCGTGATCTGTGCGCCGCATCGCCGACGAAGTCATGGCCTCCATCCTGGACGCGGTCGACCCGCTGTCGCTGTCCTGGGCCGCGGGCTGCGCGGCCCTCTCCGGCGCCTTCTACTGCGTCCTGCCCCGCAGCGCACCCTCCGGCAAGCCCCTGGGCTTCGCGACGCGCCTCGAGTGGTGCGTGCGCTGCGTCGAGGGCCTCCAGGGCGCCTACATCGCCGCCGCCGCCGCGCGGCACCTGGCGACGGCCGGCGGCCCGCTCGCGGCGCCCGTCGTGCGGACGATGGCGGGCTACCTGCTCTTCGACACGGCCTACGAGCTCGTCGCGCCGCTCGTCGCGGGCGGCGCCTGGGACGCGGGCTTCCTCGCGCACCACCTCGTCGGCCTCGCGGCCCACGGCCTCGCGACGCGTCACGCGGTCCTGCGGACCGCGACGCCGTACGTCTACCTCGCGGAGGCGAGCACGCCCTTCCTGCACGCGTCGTGGATGCTCGACAAGCTCGAGCGCGCCGGGTCGCCCCTCTTCCTCGCCAACGGCGTCGCCGGCGCGCTGTGCTACGTGGTGTTTAGAGTGGTGCTCCCGCCGCTGACGCTCTGGCGGTTTCGCGACGCCGCGCCCTGGCTCGCGGAGCCCGGCGGCGCGGGCGTACACGCGGCCTTCCAATGGTCCATGGTCGTCTTCATCGGCCTCAACCTCTTCTGGTTCCGGAAGCTCGTCCGGATGGTGTCGTCGAAGCTTAAGAAAACCTAGCGCCCCATGGTCGGCTTCATCGGCCTCCGAAAGTGCCTCCGAGTCCGAGTCCACCTCTTCTGGTTCCGGAAGCTCGTCCGGATGGTGTCATCGAAGCTTAAGGACACCTAGCGCGGAGTGACGGGCGGGTCGGCGTAGGGCAGGTCGTCGTCCTTCTTGCCGCCGCCGGGCGTCAGGAGGCGCAGCAGCGAGCGGTAGGCCTCGCCGACGAGCCCCGCGGGCGCCGCGTAGGCGAGGCTCGGCGGCCGCACGGGCGACTCCGCGCCGCGCCGCTCGAGGGACTCCGAGAGGAAGAGGGGCAACCCCGACGCGGCGGGGGGCGGCGCGCAGTCGTGGGCCGACGACGCCGCGCCGTGCGGGTCCCGGAGCTCGAAGCGCGGCACGTGGCTGCGGACGCCGTTGGCTAAGGTGCCGAGCCGCGTCTCGAAGGCGATCGCGTCGACGGCCTCCTGGTACGCCTGCGCGTAGGCGTCGCGCGCCGCGCTCGCCTCGGGCCTAGCGAGGTCCAGGAGCCGCCGGCCCAGCTTCGCGAGCGTCGACGGCCGGCGCCGCTTCGCGCCGCGGGACGCGCGGCTCGCGACGAGCGCCTCGAAGAACGCGCGGGAGAAGAGGCGCGCGGCCTCGTCGTGGGCCGACGTCGCCCAGGCGACGACGTAGGGCACGCCCTCGCCGCGGACGGCCCGCGCGAGCGCCTCGGAGCGGCAGCCGTTGAGGAAGACGAGCTCGAGGCGGCCGCCCTTCCTCGGCGAGTGGCGGCCGAGGAGCACGGCCAGGTCCCGGGGCCGCGCGGCCGCGAGCGTGCCGTCGCTGAGCACGAAGCCCAGCGTCCGCGTCGCGTCCTCGCTCCGGCTCGTGGGCGCGTCCGCGTGGCCGATGAAGAGGAAGCGGCGCGTCTCCGTGTCCCGCAGCGCGGACCGGAGCACGTCGGCCGTGACGTCGCCGCGCGCGTAGATGGCCGCGTCGCAGGACTTGGACACCTCCGTGGCCTCGAAGAGCGCGTTCGGCAGCGCCGCGACGCGCGGCGAGCACGCGAAGACGAGGAGCTCGCGCACGCGGCGGCCCCGGCGGCGGAGGCCCGACGCCCAGCGCCTACGGGAGTTCGACCGGTCGAACAACCCTCGTAAACGCGCCGCGGGGACGCGGACCGGCGCAGGAGCTGCTGCGCGGCGAACGCGACGACGAGGAGCTTCACGAGGAGGGACAGGGAGCCCAGCGCGTCGATGGTGCCGTCGCCGTCCCAGTCCATGAGGTCCGACGCGTCGACGTCGCCGTCGCCGTCGCCGTCCCAGTAGAGGAGCAGCGCCGCCACGAGCCGCAGCGGCGACGGCCGCGCGGGCCTGCGCTTGCCCATGTTAGCTCGAACTTGCCCAGGCAATCCGTCGTGTCCCGGGCATGCTAGCTCGAGCTGCCCACCCAATCCATCGGCACTCGGCACGAGTGCACTCTCCGGTTCATCGTGGCTCATGTTGCCCACCTGGCCGCGATCCGCCAAAAACCTGACGCTACAGGCCTCCGATCCGCGCTTGTTGACCCGCTACGCGACCTCCAGCACCATGGCGAGCCAGGCGCCGCATCCCGCGTCCGCGGCGACGCGCCCCGGACGGCTGCAGACCGACGCACACCCGCCGCGCAGGTGGACAAGGTAACGGACTCGGAGTTCCACTCCCTCACCGAGTACCTCATGAAAAACACCAAGGACATGGAGCGCGCCGCCCGCGCCGGGCGCGCGGCGCGCGACCCGCGGCGACCGCACCCCTCTTTAGGCTCACGGTGCTCATGGCCCAGCTCGCGCTCGCGTGCAAGGCGACGTCGCGCGCGTGCGCCAAGGCGGGCATCGCGAACCTCTTCGGCATGGCCGGCGACCAGAACTCGAGCGGCGACGACCAGAAGAAGCTGGACGTGCTGAGCAACGACATCTTCGTGACGGCGCTGCTCAAATCCGGCAGCTGCTGCGTGCTCGTGTCCGAGGAGGACGAGGACCCGATCATCGTGCCCGAGGCGCAGGCGGGCCGGTTCTGCGTCGCGTTCGACCCCCTCGACGGGTCGTCGAACATCGACTGCAACGTGTCCACGGGCACGATCTTCGCCGTCTACGAGAAGAAGACGCCGGGCAAGGTGGGCTCCGTCGAGGACGTGCTCCGCGTCGGCTCGGACATCGTCGCCGCGGGCTACTGCATGTACGGCGCCGCGACGGAGCTCGTGCTCTGCTTCAAGGGCGGCACGGTGGAGCGCTTCGCCCTCGACCCGAGCCTCGGCGAGTTCGTCCACACGCACTCCAACGTCAAGTTCCCCGCGGGCGGCGGCAAGAAGATCTACTCGTGCAACGAGGCCAACTCCATCTACTGGGACAAGCCCATCAAGGAGGCCTGCGACGACTTCAAGAAGAGCGGCTACTCCCAGCGCTACGTCGGCTCCATGGTCTCCGACGTCCACCGCACGATCCTCTACGGCGGCATCTTCCTCTACCCGGCGGACGTCAAGTCGAAGAAGGGCAAGCTCCGCGTCCTCTACGAGGGCTTCCCCATGGCGCTCCTCGTCGAGCGCGCCGGCGGCGTCGCGTCCACGGGCATGTTCAACGGCTCCGTCCAGCGCATGCTCGACCTCGTCCCCACGTCCATCCACGAGCGCTGCCCGGTGATCCTCGGCGCGCCGCGCGACGTCGACCTCGTCCTCAACCGGTACAAGTAGGCGCGCGGACACCGCCCGCGCCCGCGCCGGCCCGCCTTCCCCCCTCCTCCTCCTCGAAGTAGCCGCTGCGGAAAGCTTACGCCGGTCGGGGCACGCCGCGTCGCGGCGCGCGCGGGGACGACTCCCGCGCGCGCCGGTCATGTCGCCTCCCCCGGCCCGGCGAAGCCGCCGCTCGCCTAGGCCTCCGCTACGGCGCCGCGGAGGTTGTCGTCGAGGTACTCGGCGACGGTGTCCTCGTTCCAGCCGCCGATGGGCACCGTCTCCGCGACCTCGCCGTCGTCGTCGACCATCAGCAGCCGCGGCTTCTGGCCCTGCTTGTAGCGCACGTCGAGGGACCCGTAGGTATCGCTCCGCCGCTCGATGAAGTCGCCGATGGCCGGGTAGTGGCCCAGCTTTCACTCGCAGACCTCGAGAATCGCCGACGCGTAGCTCGCCGAGGCGCTCAGGTCCTCGCTGCAGCAGGCGCCGCAGTCGGCGGCGAGCTCGGGATCCGGGACGAGGCTCTCGAGCTTCGCGCAGGACGAGCAGCGCAGCGACGCCGTGAAGCCGGCCTCGAGGCAGTCGAGCGACGCCGCGCTGCCGAGCGCCGCAGCGAAGACGAGGGCTCGGGCCATCGTCCTCTGCGGCAATTTGTACAAGGAAACCTGGTTGATGTGTTTGTTGATGATTTGGAGGAGGGCTTCGCGCGCTGATGATGGCCTAAGACTTCGAGCGGGCAGCCACCGCCGTCGACGAACGCGTCGACGAACGAAGCAGCGCGTAGCAAAATCCGCCGAGTCTCGACGACACACCGCTAAGCGCAGCGCTGCACCATGGTCCGAGGCGTGGGCCCGCCGCCGACGCCGCCGCCGCCGAACCAGGTCGAGCCGCCGGCGGTCATGCTCAAGCCCGAGCCCGAGGCGGACCTCGTGCACCCGCCGACGGTGCTCCACGTCTTCCTCATCCGCGCGAGCGACCTGCCGATGATGGACTACAACTGGATGACGCGCAAGGGCTCGAGTGACCCCGTCGTGTCGCTGAAGATCGACAGCCAGGACAAGGTCTGCAAGAGCAAGGTCCAGAGCCGCACGGTGAACCCCGTGTGGAACGAGCACTTCGCGCTGCCGTCCGACGACGGCAGCGACGCGTTGGTGTTGACCATCGACGACTACGACATGTTGAGCGCGAACGACTTCATGGGCACGGTGAAAATTCCCGTGGGGTCCCTGGCCCACCGCGAGTTCCGCAAGGAGACCTTTCCCGTCACGGACGCCAAGGGCGAGCTGAAGAAGAAGGGCACGTGGGGCACCGTCGAGCTGTGCCTGCGGTGGGTCTACGACGCGGACTTCGCGTTCCCGATCCCGGCGGAGCTCGCGGCGCCGGAGCCGCCGGAGCTCGCGGCCAAGGAGGCGAACGCCGTGCGCATCTTCCTCATCCGGGGGCGGAACCTGCCCATCGCGGACAAGAACCTGCTGTCGTCGGGCGGCTCGTCCGACCCCATGGTCACGTTCGCGTCGGGCAAGCAGACGCTCGAGAGCACGGTCGTCAAGAAGTCGCTGTCGCCGACCTGGGAGGAGACCTTCGAGCTCCGCGCCGACGACGTCGACGACGCCGTCGCCGCCGTCGTCGACGACTGGGACCTCATGAGCGGCAACGACTTCATGGGCAAGTTCTGGATCGAGCTGAAGCCGCTCGCGGCGCGGACGCTCGTGCGGCGCTGGTACGCCCTCCGGCCGGAGGGCGCGGCGCGCAAAGCCGGCGCGTCGGCCGTCGCGGGCAAGCAGGCCCGGGCCGCCGCGGAGGACGCGTCGCTGGGCAAGGTCGAGCTCGCGTGCCGCTGGCTCCACCTGAAGCAGTTCGACCTGCCGCCGCCGGACTTCATGGTCGCCGACGAGCGCTACCCCGACGAGAAGCCCAACGCGCTCCACGTCTTCCTCATCCGGGGCAAGAACCTGCCGGTCATGGACAAGAACGTCATCGGCGGCGGCGGCTCGTCGGACCCGCTCGTCACCGTGTCCATCGAGGACGAGCGGAAGACGTCCAAGGTGAAGAAGAAGAACCTCGAGCCCATCTGGAGCGAGCACTTCGAGTTCCCCGTGGAGGACCTGAGCGACTCCCTCAAGGTCGTCTGCGACGACTGGGACCTCCTGAGCGGCAACGACTTCATGGGCCAGCTCGACGTGCCCATCCGTCTGTTCGCCGACCGCGAGCTCCACCGCCAGTGGTGGTTCCTCTGCAACGAGCACGGCCGCGAGCACACGGACCTGGGGAAGCTCGAGTTCGCCTTCCGGCTCTACCACAACCCGGCCTACGTGTTCCCGACGCCCGTCCGCTTCCTCCAAAAGGACGTCCTCTCGCGGCCGGCGAACGTGCTCCTCGTCCACGTCGTCCGGGGCAAGGGCCTGCCGATCATGGACCCGAACATGATGTCCAAGGGCGGCTCGTCGGACCCCTTCGTGAAGCTCGCCTTCTCCGGGTTCAGCGAGAAGACGGCCGTGAAGAAGCAGACGCTCGCGCCCATCTTCGAGGAGACCTTCGCGTTCCCCGCGGAGATGGACGACGAGGTGCTCGAGCTCGAGGTCTGCGACCACGACGTGGTGACGGCCGACGACTTCATGGGCAGGCTCTCCATCCCGCTCAAGCACCACAAGGAGCGGACGCTGCTCCGGGGCTGGTTCGCGCTCGCGGACAAGGACGGCAGGCCCGCGTCCCTCGGGCGCCTCGAGCTCTGCGTCCGCTGGGTCTACGACGTGGACTACGACCACGCCGTGCCCGAGCACATGGCCGCGGACGAGGACCCCGCGCTGCGGAAGAAGCCCGCGAACTGCGTCCTCGTGTTTCTCGTCGCGGCGAAGAATTTGCCGGTCATGGACAAGAACCTGCTCTCCAAGGGCGGGAGCAGCGACCCGCTCGCGACCCTGGTCCTCGAGGGCGAGCAGGTGCGGTCGACGACGAAGAAGAAGACCTTGTGCCCGCTCTGGAAGGAGCACTTCCAGCTGGCGGCGCACGCGCTCGACGAGGTGCTCCACGTCACCGTCGACGACTGGGACGCGGCGTCGGGCAACGACTTCATGGGCACCTTCTCCATCCCCGTCGACGACCTCGAGGGCCGCGAGGTCCACCGGCGGTGGTACGACCTCGAGGACGAGAAGCGCATGAAGGCCCGGGGTCGCGTCGAGGTCGCGTGCCGCTTCGTCTACCGCGACGAGTACGCGGTCGAGCTGCCCAAGGACTTCGTCGCGCCGGAGAAGTCGACCTACGAGCGGCCCAACCTGCTCAAGGTCTTCCTCATCCGCGCGCGCGGCCTGCCCGCGCTCGACAGCCACCCGTTCGCGCTCCCGAGCTCCGACCCGACGGTCTACCTCAAGATCCAGTTCGAGGAGACCCACGAGTCGACGACCAAGTGGAAGTCGCTGGCGCCGACGTGGTGCGAGACCTTCACGTTCCCAATCGAGGACCTGTCGTTCCCCCTCGACGTCACGGCCGTCGACAAGGACGACGACGACGACGAGGACCTCATGGGGTCCGCGACCGTCGACCTGAAGCCGCTCCGCGACCGCAAGGTGAGCCGCAAGTGGTACAAGCTCCGGGGCGACGCCGCGCACACGCGCCGCGCGGGCGACGCGGACTACGGCGGGAAAGTCGAGCTCGGAGCAGGAAAAGAGTGATGCACGTTCGCTTCAACGCGAGTGTTCCGCGCGCGCGCGTTCTGGAAAAAGCACCCGCGCTTCGAGAGATGATCGATCGTCGAAGAATCAGCCGAAACGAGTGGAAAACGGCCGAGAGAGGAGCCTTTGGAATTTCGCACTCTTTTCCCGCCCAGGTCGAGCTCGCGCTCCGGTGGGTCCACGAGCCCAAGCTCGTGGCGCCGCTGCCCGACGCGTTCGTGACCCTCGACCCGAAGCTGCTGAAGAAGGAGCTGAACGCGCTCCGCATCCTCGTCATCCGCGCGAAGACGCACGCGGACGCGCCGAACGACCTCGAGGTCGCCGCGCGGCTCAGGGCAGCACAAGAGAGCGAAATTCCCAACTTCAAAGGCTCCGATCTCGGCCGTTTTCCACTCGTTTCGGCTAATTCTTGGACGAGCGATCATCTCTCGGAACGGTCTCGAAGCGTGGATGCTCTTTCCGGAACGCGCGCGCGCGGAACACTCACGTTGAAGCGACGTTGAATCACTTTTTTGCTGCCCAGGTGCGGCTCAACATGCCGCGCGCGGGGCGGCCCGCCTACGACGCGGAGCACGTCACGGACCGCAGCCACCGGACGCCGACGACGAAATTCACGAGCTGGTGGAAAGAGTTTTTGATCCCCATCGACGAGGAGATGAAGAAGCGCGACGCGCTGACGTGCGTCGTGCGATCCGGGAGCGGCGTCATCGTCGGCACGGTGAACGTGCCCTGGGACGAGGTCCGGGGCCGGAGCGCGAGCCGCGCCTGGCACCTGCTCCACAGCCACAGCAAGAACCCGGAGCCCCAGGAGCTCGAGCTCGCGGCGCTCGGCGTCCACGACCGCGCGCTCGAGAGCGAGAAGGAGTTCCGGCTCCACAGCCGGCGCATCAAGAAGGAGACGGACGAGCGCCGGGGCTACAAGATGACGGACACGGTCCAGCTCGTGCCCGTCGGCGACGGCCTCGAGCGCTTCTTCCTACGGATCAAGTTCCTGCCGGGCATCTACGGCCAGCTCAAAGACTCGTACTGCTGCATGTCCAAGGCGCTCCTCCTCAAGGACCGGCGCGGCGAGTGGGCCGTCTTCGACTGCCCGACGCAGGTCGACTTCCGCCGCACCTTCCCGAAGAACCTGCGCGACTTCATCCAGACCTGCTTCGAGTCGGGCTACGAGCTCGAGGGCGAGGGCAACGTCACGAAGCGCCTCTCGTCGGCCATCTACAACCGGGACGACATCACGCTCTACCTCGACGCGCCGGGCGAACTCTACGACTTCTTCGAGGAGCAGCTCTTCGACTTCTTCGCGCGATAGGGCCTAAGGCGCGCGCGCGGCGTGGCGGCGGGGCGAGCGCTGATTGGCTGGCTCGAGCGGCACGCTCGAGGACGGCGAAAAGTGTGGGAGCTTGTGGCAGCTCTCCCCGACGCGGTGCGCGTGCGGCAGCTCTGTCCCGTCGCCCGACGCGGCGCGCGTGCCTAAAAGATGCCGCTCATGGTCATGGACGACATGCCGCCGATGAAGATGGACGACATGATGTCCATGGACGACGACCCCGACGCCTTCTGCAGCGGCATGGCCATGTCCATGTACATGGACGGCTTCACCTCGAGCCTGCGCCACACGTGGTGGGCCTTCGCGTCGACGACGGCGCACCGCCGCGAGGCGCCGGGCTGCCTGAACCTCTTCTTCCCCGCCTGGACGCTCGACGGCGCGGGCAAGTTCGCGGCCGCGGCCGTCGGTGTGCTCGCGCTCGGCGTCGCCGTCGAGGCGCTCTCGGCGCTGCGGCGGTCCCGCGCGGTGGCCCTCGCGCGGGCGAAGCACCGGGGCCGGTCCGCGGCCGCGACGGCCGAGACGGCGCTCCTCTACGGCCTCCAGCTCGCCCTGGGCTACTTCCTCATGCTCGCGGTGATGACGTACTCCGTCGAGCTCTTCGTCGCGGCCGTCGCCGGCGTGATTTTGGGCCACGGCGCCTGCCGCACGGCGCGCGACGCGTCGTCGGCGCTCGTGACGTCGGCCGAGACGTGCTGCGCGGGGCTCGACGCGGGCGGCTCGGGCCGCGCGAGCCCCGAGGCCGGCGGCTACTGCGCGTTGGGCAGCGTCGGCTCCCGGCGCACGGCGTCCCTCAAGGTCTCGGGCATGACGTGCCAGCAGTGCGCGGACACGGTCACGGCCGCGCTCCTCCGCCTGCCCGCCGTCGACGCCGCGGCCGTCGACCTCGGCGCGGCCACGGCCACGGTCACGGGCCGCGCGGGCCTCGAGGAGCTCCTCGCCGCCGTCGACGACTGCGGCTTCGGGGCCGGGGCGGCGTAGGGGGCGGGGTAACGTGCGTGCTTCGTTTCATACCCACGGCCGACATTGCTTACGGGGGCCCCCTTGGCGGGGCCGCGCGACTAGAGGTAGCCGTCGTCGTCGTCCTCCTCCTCCTCCGCGACGGCGTCCTTGACGGAGTCCTGCTTGAGGTACATGTCGAGGACCTGGTCCGCGTTCGTCGCCTCGTCCGCGGTCTTGTCGTCGCGGGGCCGGAGGAGCCGCGGGAAGCGGAGGCCGATGCCGCGGCCCTCCTTGACGCGGCCCAGGGCGCCCTTGTGCGTGTCGGAGAGGCTCAGGTCCGCGACCTGGACCTCCCAGACGAGCTTGGGCTCGATCCACGTGATGTCGTGCTCGAGCGCGTCGCCGCATTTCACGTGGCGCGGCTTCGCGGGGAGCACCATGGCCCGCGCCTGGGCGTCGAGCGTCTTGAGGTCCTCGTCGCTAAACCCCGTGCCGATCTTGCAGACGCTCTGGAGGTCGCCCGTGTCCGCGTCGAGGCACGCGCACAAGTACGCGCCGAAGACGCCCGTCCGCTTGCCCCGGCCCATGTACGCGCCGACGACGACCAGATCCAGCGAGTCGCCGACGCCGTCGAGGTAGTCCTTCTTGAGCTTGAGCCAGTTGAGGGACCGCTTCGACGGCTCGTAGGTCGCGTTCGCCTCGAGCGTCTTCACCATGAGCCCCTCGGACTTGGCGACGATGGACGCCTCGAGCGCGTGCTGGATGTGCTCCGCGGCGTCGCACTCGTCGCAGGACGCGGGCACGTCGACGGCGTCGGCGAAGGCGAACTTGTGCTCCGCGGGCGCGAAGCCGCCGCGCATCGCCGCGCGGCGCTCCTTGAGCGACTTCCGGAGCAGGCTCTCGCCGTCGAGGAAGAGGAGGTCGAAGGCCATGACGATGACGTCGACCGTGACGTCCTCCACGGACGCCTCCTTCTTGCGCGTGGACAGGCGCTGGAACGGCAGGAGCTGGCCCGTCTTGACGTCGATGGCGACGACCTCGGCGTCGAGGACGAACGATTTCGTGCCCCTGGCCTCCGCGGCCGCGCGGACGACGGCCTGGACCTCGGGCCACTTCTTCGTCGTCTCCTGGAGGTTGCGCGAGAAGACCTTGACGTCGCCGTTGGGGAGCATGTGGGCCTGGAAGCGCTCGCCGTCGTACTTGTGCTCGCACGTGATCGCGATGCCGCCCAGCCGCTTGAGCACCTCGCCGACGGACTTCGTCGGCTTGGCGAGCATGGGGAAGACGGGCACGCCGACGGCGAGGGCGCAGGCCTCGGGCAGGGCCCAGAGCGGCCGCGAGAGGATGCCCTCGCAGAGCGTCGCGTAACTCGGCGCCTCCGCGTAGCACTGCTTGACGACGGCGTCGGCCGCGGCCGCGCGCGCGTCCTTGGGCAGCACGCGCTTGGCCTTGGCCCGGCGGCGGAGCGCGGCGTCGCGCTTCAGCGCCGCCGCGGCCTCCGCGCCCGTGATCTCGCGGCCGACGTCGAGCGACTCGTGCGCGTCGGGCGGCGCCTCCGCATTCGCGAACGCGGCGTCCTCGCGCGCGTCCGCGGCCGCCGTGGGCCAGAGCTCCGCGGCGTGGGCGAGGCCCACGAGCACGGAGCTCTCGGCGAGGCCGATGCGGAGCTTGCCCTGCAGGCCGCGCGTCACGTAGCGCGCCTCGACGGGCGTCGCCGCGGTCATGAGCTTCTGCATGCGGCCGATCTTGGCGTCCTGGGACTTGGAGCCCGAGATGGCGCAGATCTCGCGGTAGGCCGCGAGGACCTTGGCCGCGAGGAGGGGCTTGGGCTTCGCGCCGAAGCTCAGCGTCTTCTGCTTCTTCCGCGCGTCTTCGGCGACGATGCCGAGGTCGCCCTGCTTCTCGTACTCGCCCTTGACGTGCTTCGCATTCTTGCCGAAGGCGTGGGCCACGGCCTTCATGAGCAGCGAGTCGCCGATGCCCATCTCCAGGTTCTCGAAGGCCGGCGCGACCTTGTTGCAGAGCAGGAAGACGCACGCGGTGAGGTCGCCCGGCGCGTGGCGCATGACCTGGCCCAGCAGGTCGCGCACGTGGCCCTGGATCTCGAGGCGCTTCGTCGTCGCCTCGATCTTCTCGAAGACCGCGGCGATGGCCGCGTAGGGCACGCAGCCCGCGTCCGCCCAGTCGGGCGCCGCGGGCGACGCCTTCGCGCCCGGGTTCGCGAAGACGGGCGCCTGCTTCTCCTTGGGCTTGGCGGCCTCCGCCGCGGGCTTCGCGGCCGCGGGCGCGGCGGCCGCGGGCGCGGCGGCCGCGGGCGCCTCGGCGGGCGCCGCCTTGGCCGCGGCGGGCGCGGCGGCCATGAGCTCGTCGTCGTCCGACGCCTCGGACGCCGCGCGGTCGGGCCTGCGCAGGCGCCCGGCGGGCGCCGCGGGCTCCGGCTTGCTCTTCTTCGCCGCGGGCGCGGCGACGTCCTTGGCCTCCGTCGACGACGTCGACTCCTCGCTCGCGCGCTTGGGCGCGGCCTTGGACTTTTTAGGCGCGAAGAACGCCTTGAGCGTCGCGCTGCCTCCCGCCATTTCGCGGTGGTGTGTTGCAAGAGTGTTTCTTAGTCGTGCAGTGCTGTTGCGACTGTGTTTGCTGCAGGCGCTCGTCGGTGCCGGCGTCGTATGCCGGGATTAATCAAATGCTCGGGCGCGGCCGCGGAGCGGGCGCGGAGCGCGGGAGAGCGCGTCGGGATTTGGCCGGGGTCGAGGCGACAGATAGGCCTGAAGATGCCTGACAGATTGCGGCTCGAAGATGTGCGTCGAGCTTACGCCTCGCGCTCATTTGCGCGCGTAGAGGTAGACGTAGCCGAGCATGAGCGGCGGGTTCTCGGACTTGGCGACCTTCTCGTCGTCGAAGATGACGAAGTTGCCGTCCGCGTCGCGGAGGTGGGCGACGTAGTGGCCGCAGGCCGTGTTCGCGCCGATGTGGGAGACGAGGCCCTTGAGCTCGTAGACCGCGTCGCCGTCGTCCATGTCGTCGGCGCCCGGCGCGGGGGGCGCGGGCGCGCCGCCCGCGGGCGCGGCGAGCGCGGCCTCCACGGCGCCGTCGAGGTCGTCCATGTGGGAGAAGATCCAGTCCGCCGCGCGCTCCGTGCTGCCGTCGCAGGCCTTGAGGGCGCCCTCGGCCTGGCGCGCCGTGAAGCCCATGGCGCTCAGCTGCTCGACGGCCGCCGGGTCGACCGCGTCGCCGCCCGCGGCCGGCGCGGCGTCGAGCGGTAGAGCGAAGTCGGGGTCGCCCATGTGGCTGAAGACCCACTCCGTCGCCGCCTCGGCGCCCGCGTTCTTCGTCGCGACGCAGGCGCGCTTGCAGCCGTTCTCGTCGAAGCCCATGGACAGGAGCTGCGCGAGGATGGCCTCGTCGGGCACGAGCGCGGCGGGCGCCGCGGCCGCGGGGCCTTCGTCGTCGTCGGGCAGCAGGCCCTCGCCCGAGGGCCGCTCCGCCGGCGCGCGCAGGAAGGATAGATCCAAGGTCCGCGGCACGTCGACGAGCACGTCCATCTTCTTCGCCTCCCAGGTCTGCGACACGTAGTAGCGGTTCACCTTGAGGAGCAGGTAGCGCGGGCACGTCTTGAGCCGCGCGGTGCGCGTCGCCGCGCCGCGGGCGCCCGTCGCCGACGACAGGAAGTCGCCGATGGTCTCGTCGGCGGCCCAGCGCGCGAGGCACGCGTCCAGCGCCACTTTGGGCTTCTCGCGCGGCGGCTCGCCCTCGAGCTTCGCGCGCTTGAGCTCCGACTCCGCGGGCGGCTCGGGCACGAGGTCCCGGGGCACGGGCACCTCGAGGGCGAGGTGGCTCGACGTGCCGTAGCGCGCGAGGCCCGACTGGCCGCAGACCGTCTTCTCCTCGACGGCGAACGCGAAGAGCTGCTGCGTGGGCTTCGCGCGGAGCGGGTCGTAGGGCCCGTACTCGACCTTCTTCTTGGCGCCCGCCGCCTCGGCCGCGGCGTCGTCGGCGGTCGCGGCCGCCTCGAGGCGGCCCGACTGGAGCGCGCCGTGCTCCGCGCGGCCGAGGACGTCGAGCACGTGGAGCAGGTACTCGGCCGCGTCCTGCTGGCGCGGCGTCGCGAACTCGGCGTGGCCCAGGCCGAAGAGGCGGCGGAAGGCGCGCGGCGCGACCTTGCCCGCCTCGGCTCGCGTCGCGTCGGCCTCGCCGAGGAGCGCGGGCGCGTCGTCGGGGCCGCGGAGCGCGCCGGCGGGCTTCGCGTAGCGCCGCGACCGCAGCGCGCCGACGAGCTTGGCGCACTGGGCGAGGTGGTCGTCCTTCTTCGCCGGGCTCGAGGCCAGGAGCGCGCCCGCGGCCGCGCCGACGGCGTCCGTGTCGTCGAGCTGGCCGTGGTAGCGGCGGCCGATTTCGGGCACGGACCTGTGTGGAATTCAACCACTGGTTTGGGTGGTCCTGACCAAACTTGAGAATTCTCTAGCTCGGTCAAATCGAAGTCGATTCGGCTGATTTTTGGACGAATCGATTGCTCTTGTCGAGTTCTCGAAGCACAGCCGAAGAGCTTGCGTCGAAACTGTCGCATATGCGCACATTGAAGTCGGGTTGAAGATTTGAATTCCACACAGGCACGGACGCGAGGAGGTGCGCGACGCTGTTGAGGTAGCACGAGTTGCCCAGGTTCACGAGGCCCAGCAGCCCGACGCCCGCGAGGGGCTCGAGCTTGGCGCCCGCCTCGGCGATGGCGGACCACTCGAACTTGGCGTTCGCGTCGACCTCGAGCTCCGCCGTCGTCTTCTCCGTCTTCTCGAGCGACAGCGCGTTGATGCCCCAGAACTTGAGGTGCGCCGCGAGCTTGGCGTCGAGGACGGGGCCGTCCTCGTCGGCGGCGTAGGAGTAGAGCTCCGCGCCCGTCGCGGAGATCGTGCCCAGCTTGACGACGAGCGGGTACTTTTTTCCCGTGGCCTCGAAGTGGTGCAGCGCGCCGTTGGAGCCCTTGGGCCCGCCCCAGGCGCTCTGGTCGCGGCCGCCGCCGACGTAGCCCGTCGACAGGTTGAGCCACAGGTTCTCCGCCGCGCCGGACTCCTCGCAGCGCCACGACGCCGCGTCGGGCGACAGGGGCTCGGACCGGCCGCCCTCGGCGGGCGAGAGCTGCACGAGGGACGCGGCGTACTTGGACTCCTTGAGCTCCTCGTCGGCGAGGGCCCAGGCGTTCTCGCGGTTCGCGTCCGCGCCTGAGAGCAAAACTGGTTTTGCCGACCAAACTTCAAAATTCTCTCCGTGGAAATTGTTTCGGCTGATTTTTGGACGAGCCGTGTTCTTTCGTCGAGCTCTCAGTGTTCGAGCAATCGCGCATTGAAGTAGGCTCGAAGTTTCCGCGCGGGTCCGCGCCCTCGGCGTCGAGCGCGGCCGTCGCGCAGGCGGCGACGAAGTCGGGCACGGCGTCGTCGGGCAGCGGCACGAGGGTCACGGCGCCGTCGCGGACGACGGCGAGGCTCCGGGTCTTGACGACGTCGTACTTGGCGTCCTCGGCCTCGAAGCCGCCGTCGACGCCGACGCCCAGCGTCGTCGGCGCGGCCTTGGCCTCGGTCGCGGCGGCGTCCGCGCGCGGCGCCTTGCGCCAGGCGTGGTGCGCGTAGAGCGCGCAGCCGCTCTTGGCCGCGTCGGCGGCGACGAAGTCGGCGCCGCAGCCCTCGTAGGTGCGCAGGTTCACGAAGAGGCCGCCGGCGCTGTAGGGCGAGTCGAAGGACGAGCCGCACTCGGCGTTGCCCACGGCGTCGCGCGGGCCCGCGGGGCGCAGGCCCGTCATGTTCGCGCGGATGGCCGCCAGCAGCGCGGGGTCCATCGTCGTGGCTGCGGTGGCGCGCGCGGCTTCTGCTGCTCGCAATTGCGCAAGCGAGGCCCTGTGGCAAGGCTTTTGCGAAGCACGAGGCTGATTTTGAATGTGCCGCTGGCGCGCGCCTTCCGTGGACGGTGAAGCGCAAACGTACGCCGTTTTCCGTTCCGCCGCCAGCGTGTTCGGAAGATTCCGCTGGCGATGAGAAGGTGCGGCGAAGTCGACGGCAGCGGGCTGTAAGCGGGCTATCCATCTGCTACCCTTGCTGTTCTCGAGCGTCTTTCCGACCTCCTTGTCCTGCTGACGTCGACTTGAAGCGCTTTCGTGGCCGCGGCGCCGCGCCGGCGGCTGCCACTGGCAGCAGTCGCCGCAGCCACCACGGCGACGCCGCAGCGGCTGCGACGCCGCAGACCCGCGCACAGGCCGGCTATGATATACTTTTTCATGTACGAAGAAGTAGTGGCGATGTTGTTGGGCGCGAGGTGCGCGGTGCTCCGGAGGAGCGGCGGGCATGCATGAGGAGCGCGCGCGCGCGCGCGGCGGTGGCGCCGCGGCGCGGCCGATGGAAGGAGGAAGTCGTCGTCGGGGTGGTGGTGCTGCGTGGGGCTCCGCGCGGGCCGCCGCGCTGCGGCGGCGGTCCGGCGGAGGGGCGAGGCGGCCGACGGCGGCTGCGCGGTTCGCGGGAGGCTTTGATGGAGACGTGGTCGTCGATGGCGTGTTTCGGGGGCTTTTCGGGGGGGGCGCCGCGGCGGGTGCTATGTAGCTTGCGGCCCCGCCTAGCAGGACGTGAGGGCGACGCCGTCGTCGTCGTCGACGCCGAGCGCGCCGAGGTACCGCTCGGGCTCGACGACGGTCGCGTTGAGCTGGTGCGCGAGCGCCTCGCGGACGCGGCGGTTCTCGTCCTCGAGGTCGGCGACGGCGCGGCTCAGGGTCTCGATGTAGACCTTCTTGCGGTCCCGCGTCATCTTCGCGTGGAGCCGGTTCCGCTCGCGGCGCATCTGGTCGAGCTCGCCCGGCGACAGGTCCCGGCGGCGGCCGTCGCCGTCGAGCGTGTAGCCGTTCTTCCAGTGGATCGTCGGCTTGGCGCCGAGGGCGCCCTTGGCGGAGGCCACGCAGGGCTCGTCCGCGCCGTCGGACGACGACGCGTCCTGGTTGTCGAAGCGGTCCGACGCGGCCGACGTGGAGCGGCTCACGGCGCGGACCGTGTGCTCGTCGTCGTCGCGCTCGCCGAAGGCGCTCCGCGGGCTCGAGGGCTCGTCCTCCGTCTCGTTCATGGCCGCGGCGAGGTCCGAGTTGGTCACGCGCTCCCGCGCGAAGGCCGCCGCGACGGGGCGCGCGATGGCCGGGTTGCTGAGGCCGAGGAGGATGTTCGCCGTACTACAATCCTGGAGCGCCGCCTCGAGGCGCGCGCCCTCGTCCTGGAGCTCCTGGACGCGGGACTGGAGCGTCTGGAGCTGGGCCTAGGAGTTTTTTCGTGTTTTGCAGGTTGAATTCCGACTGAGTCGGTGCGAATGTCGGAGGGGACGTTTTCGGGAAACGCGGGCTCAGATGTGGTGGTGGGGCGGGGGCAGCGGGTCGCGCGGGCGGAGCGCGCCGACAAGGATGCGCGCCCGATCAAAGAGGGCCTCGACCTCTTGCGTCCAGCAAGGGCGCGCCCGAACGGGCGAGTGTCGGTTCGAAACATCCGCTCGGCCCGATCGCGCGCGTTTCCATTGGACGCGGGTGCGGACCTTCTTGCGCTGCCGCGTGCGCCGCGCGTGCTCGCGGTTCCGCTCGCGGGACCGCTGCAGGCGCTCGTCTTGGGAGAGGTCGGCTAAGCCGCGCTTGCGCGTCGTGGCCGACAGGTCGATGATTTCGGACTCGTTCATGGCAGTTCCGGCGCGAAACTCGTTGGGCCGCGAGATCGTAGGTGTCAGAGAGATGTGCGAGTGAGATCCGCTCGTTGTGTCGCTCCTTTCTTGGTGTGATGGACCAGTCGTCACGGCAGCTGGCGCGGAGGCGGCTATGCGGTGTCCGATCTAAATTCTGTAGCGGGAGCGTGGCCTCACCTTTAACCTGTGCACGGCGACAAAACCGGTGGCTGTCGCCTTCCTCAGTGACGCGAACATTCAAGCAACGAAGATCGAGCAGCAGGCGGCCTCGCCACAATCTTCGGGGCAGTGAGCTTGAAGATCGTGTTCGTATGATACGAGGCGCGCGAATTTCGAAAGACGCCGACGACGACCGTCGAGACGTGCTTCGACCTGCTTCGTAGGACCTGCTCACGGTTGCAGGAGTTGACGATCGCCGATGCCAGCCGGCACGCCTACGGCCCGAGCACGTGGTAGGTCGGCGCGATTTAACATAAATTAGGCGACTTTGCGGAGGGCATCGCGGGCCGCCCGGCCCCCGGCGCTCACTGACTCATTGGCTGCGTGCATGGCTCGTGATCGTGCTCGACAAGCTCCGCCCGGCCGTGCGCGAGGCCGCGCGGGGCGAGGCGCTCCTCATCATCTGCTTTTAGCTGGGCTTTCACGGCTGCCTCGCGATGGAGCTTCTGTTCACGCCACACTTCGGCGCGCTCCGAGTCGTTCCGCCTGTCGACCAGCCGCGCGCGATGCTGCGCGGAAGACGCGTCGGCGGCAGCCGACTAGTCCCGGGCGAGCGCGCCGCGGACGAGGTGCGGCGCAGCCGTCTACGATGGCGAAGCTCTGGAGCCACGGCTGCGGCGCGCGCGCGCGCGCCGTCGGCGAACGATCGACGAAGCTTGCTGGGACCCCGGCGAGGCTCGGCCGGCGCGATGAGAGCATAGCACGGCTGCAGCCGAAGCCGTCGTGCGCGCGCGCTGGTGCACGCACTCCGCGCCTACTCGTGCTGCCCGACGCGTTCACCCATCAGTCCGCAAGCGTCGCACATCTTGCCGAATCACGCGGGCACGCGCGCGAGACCGCTGCCGATGCCGCTCGACAGGTTGATCGGCGGCTGGGATACGAGGCCTTCGACGCCTGGGACACGTCGTCGGCGACGGACTACGTCTTGAGCGTCTACGAGGCCGCCGGCGGCTGGAACGCGTCGTAGGCGACGGGCTACGCCTTCGCGCCCGTCGCCGCGAAGATCTACGAGGTCGTCGGCGGCCGGGACGCGTCGTAGGAGACGGGCGCGGGCTACGCGTACGACGCCGACGGCTACGTCCAGTACGTCCAGGCCGTCGGCTGCTGCAACGTCTCGTCGGTGAACACGGGCTACGCCTTCACGCCCGTCGCCGCGAACGTCTACGACGTCGTCGACCGCTGGAACGCGTGGTAGGAGACGGGCGCGGGCTACGCGTTCTCCGACGCCGACGGCTACGTCCAGGCCGGCGGCTGCTGCAACGTCTCGTCGGTGAACACGGGCTACGGCTTCGCGCCCGTCGCCGCGAACCTCTACGAGGTCGTCGGCGCCGCGAACGTCCACGAGGTCGGCGGCGGCCGGGACGCGTCCGAGGACGACTCCCACGAGATCTTCGTCGCGTGCGACCGCGCCGGCGGCGTGGGCGACGCCCTCCACACGCGGTCGCGCCGCGCGGACGTCCGGGACCAGGTCGTCCACGACGCCGCGGACGACCTCCGGCGGCTCCGGGACGCGTGGCGGTCGGAGCGCGTGCGGAGCCTTCTCGCATCCCGGCGACCGGGCCTGCGGGCGACTCGGCCTTGCGACTAAGACCTTAGGCGGCGGGGACGCGCGCGTCGAGGAGCCCGAGCGCCTCCGGGCTGAGGCGGACGGAGTGCTGCGCGGACAGCGGCTCCGCGGACGGCGGCTCCGCGAGCTGCTGCGCGGACGGCCGCGCCGCGCCGCCGAGGCGCCCGCGGACCGACCGCCCGGGGACGAAGGCCTCGCCCTCGCGGCCGTCGAACCACGACCGGCACGCGTCGCGGTACGCGTCGCGCGTCGTGTGGATCTTCTTGGACACGCCCATGGACTTGGCGTACTCGCAGGCCTCGTTCCAGTCGAGGCTGTCCACGCCCTCGCGCGTCAGGGGCACGCGGCGCTCGATGCGCTCGCGCGCGCGGTCGCGCGCTGGGTACGACCGCCCCTTGTACTTCTGCGCGTGGGACCGGACCTGGTCGTGCGTGCGCGTGCCGACGTGCGCGACGATCTTCGACCAGTCCCGGTGGCCGCCCCTCCGGAGGTGGCCGTAGCGCTGGAGAGCGTCGAGGAAGCGGTCGTGCTCGTCCGCGGCCCAGTAACGGCCGCTCGCCGCCGCGCGCTCGCCGTCGTCGTCGTCCGCGGGCTCGTGGACGTCGTCGTCGTCGAGGACGCACGTCGTCGACGCGCGCCGCGGCGCGGCGCCGGCGTCGGCGCCGAGGGCGCGCGGCCGGCCCAGCGCCAGCGCGGGCGGTGCGTCGGCGGGAACGCGCTCGCAGTCGGCCTTCGGGACCGTCACGAGGCCGCCCTTGGGGATGGCGTAGGGCGCGTGCACCTCGTAGACGCCGTCGCGGGCCGCGAAGCGGACCGCGGCGCCCGCGGCGGCGTCGACCCCCGCGACGAACGAGCACGTCGCGGGGTCGTGGCGGACGGCGTACTCGAAGTTCGCGCCGATGTCGAGCTCCGGGCCGGCGCCCTCGGGCACGCCGACCCGGTAGCGCCCGTGGCAGCCCATGTTGACGAGAATGACGCTGTTGGGCTTCGTGCCCGGCGGCACCGTGACGACGCGGCCGCGCCGCGGGGCCGCGGCCGCGGAGCCGAGCGACCGCGCCGCGCCGCGGCGCCGCTTCGCGGGCGGCTCGTCGAGCGCCGCGAGCATCTTCACGGCGGCGAACTCCTCGTCGCGCCAGGCCTCCTCGTCCGCGGCCGTGGCCGACGGCCGCGCGAAGCGGTCGATGCCGAGGTCGATGCAGATGCCCTCGAGGCGCGCCGCCGGGCGCTCGAGCGCCTCGAGCGCCGCGACCATTGCCGCGAACTCCTCGTCGCGCCAGGCCTCCTCGTCCGCGGCCGTGGCCGACGGCCGCGCGAAGCGGTCGATGCCGTGGGCGCCGCAGATGCCCTCGAGGCGCGCCGCCGCGCGCTCGCGGTATCCGCCGGGCGCACGGACGACGATGGCGTCGACGGCCTCGCGGGCTTCGCGGTGGCGCATGAGGTACTTCTGCGCGTGGGACCGGACCTGGGCGAGCGTGCGCGTGCCGACGTGCTCGGCGACGCGCTTCCAGTGCCGGCCGTAGCGCTGGAGAGCGTCGACGAAGAGCGCCTTCTCGTCCGCGCTCCAGCGGCCCGTGCGCTCGTCGTCGTCGTCCGCGGGCGGCCCGAGGTACCGCACCGCGAACTCGAGCTCCAGGAAGGAGCGCGGTCCGCGGTACGGCGCCGCGGCCGCGGCGCGCGGCACGAAGACCGCGCCGCGCTCGCGGCCGACGAACCACGACAGGCACGCCTTGCGGTAGTCGTCCGTGGTCCTGGCGAACGAGCCCGCCCGGCCCATCGCGTTCGCGTAGGCCATCGCCTCGTAGTAGTCGAGGTGGGGCACGCCCTTGAGCGTCAGGGGCACGCAGGCCGCGACGCGGTCGAGCGCCGCGGCGCGCTTCGCTACGTTGTTGTGGTCGTCGTCCTCGTCGTCGTCCTCGTCCTCGAAGGCGCACGTCGTCGACGCGTGCCACGCGCGCCGCGGCGCGTCGCCGGCGTCGACGCCGAAGACCGTCAGCGCGGGGGGCTCGCCGGAGACCGAGGACGTCGACGCTCGGTTGTCGTGGAGAATGCGGAGGGCCTCTTCGCTGAGGCGGAAGGAGGACTGCTTGGGCATGTCGTCGTCGTCGAGGACGCACGTCGTCGACGCGCGCCGCGGCGCGGCGCCGGCGTCGGCGCCGAAGGCGCGCGTCAGCGCGGGCGCCGCGACGTCGCCGAAGATCCTGATCTTCCGGTCGACGCGCGTCGCCGCCGCCGGGCCGACCTCCCACGACCCCCCCGACTGGAGGAGGTCGAGGCGGCCGGCCCTCAGCGCGCCGATCAGCGGCGCGTCGTAGGCGCCGCGCGCCGTCAGCGCGCGGTCCGCGCCGCCGACGCGCCCCCAGGCGAGGATGGAGTCCATCGCCAGCGCGATCCGGATCATCCGCAACACGCGGGCTAATAGCGCGCGCGGGTCAGCGCCGCGCTCGCACGCGCCGCGGTACGCGGGGACGATGGCGTGCACCGGCGGCTCCGCGGGCGCGGCTGGCGTCTCCCAGACGCCGCGGCCGAAGCGGTCGAAGCCCTCGAGCATTGCCACCGCAGAGCTGGGAGAAACATGCAACTCGCCGAAGATGACGTTCGGGTGCTGTTCGTGCGGCAGCAGCCCCGTCCCGACGCGCTGCCCGCGCAGGCAGCGCGACCGGGCGATCGACTTCGTGCGGACGTTCGACCGCGGGCGCGCCTCGGACCGCGCGGACCGGAGCATCGCGGCGCGCGCAGCACGGCGCCCGCTCAGCAACACCAGCGGGCTGGGAGGTGACGGGCATGCTCCTCGACGGCGTCGAGACCGAGGCCTTCGACGCCTGGGACACGTCGTCGGCGACGGACTACGTCGCGAGCGTCTACGAGGCCGGCGGCGGCTGGAACGCGTCGAGGTCGACGGGCGAGTACTTCGAGGACGCCCCCGTCCGCGAGCGCGAGCGAGCGCGTCGGCGGCCGGGACGCGTCGCAGCAGACGACGATATGCAGCGCATCTTCGACGGCGTCGCGACCATGTACGAGGCCGCCGGCGGCTGGAACGCGTCGTAGGCGACGAGCTACGCCTTCACGCCCGGCACGAAGGTCTACGACGTCGTCGACGGCTGGAACTCGTTGTAGGCGACGGGCGCGGGCTACGCGTTCTCCGACGCCGACGGCTACGTCCAGGCCGTCGGCTGCTGCTGCGACATCTCGTCGGTGAACACGGGCTACACCTTCACGCCCGGCGCGAACGTGTACGACGTCGTCGACGGCCGGAACGCGTCCGAGGACGACTCCCACGAGGTCTTCGTCGCGTGCGACCGCGCCGGCGGCGTGGGCGACGCCCTCCACACGCGGTCGCGCCGCGCGGACGTCCGGGCCCAGGCCGCGCACGACGCCGCGGACGCCGCGGACGCGGCCGACGACCTCCGGCGGCTCCGGGACGCGCGGCGGTCCGAGCGCGCGCGGAGCTTCCTCGCGGCCCGGCGGCCGGGCCTGCGGGCGACTCGAGCTTGCGACTAAGACCTTAGGCGGCGGGGACGCGCGCGCAGTCGGCCTTGGGGACCGTCACGAGGCTGCGCTTCGGGATGGCGTAGGGCGCGCGCACCTCGAAGACGACGTCGCGGCCCGCGAAGCGGACCGGGTAGCGGGGGGGGCGTCGGCCCCCGCGACGAACGAGATCGTCGCGGGGTCGTCGCGGACGGCGTGCTCGAGGTTCGCGCCGCCGTCGACGGCCTGGCACATGCGTCGAACGCTCTCCGCGGCCGTCATCTCCGACACGTCCCAGTCGTCGACGTCGGCGAGCTTCGGGAACATGTCGAGCACGTCCTTGCGCTGCGACGCGTCCCAGTCGTCGAGGTTCGGGAACGCTTCGAGCACGTCCTTGCGCCGGTCCCGGCCGTCGAGGTCCGCGTAGCCGCAGGCCTAGCTCGTCTGCGACGCGTCCCAGGCGCAGGCGTCGCGGTCGACGCCCCCGACGGTGTTGGAGGTGTCGAGCATGTCGTTCGTCGCCCGCGACGCGTGCCGGCAGCGGCGGAGCTCCGCGTCGATTACCGCGGCGTCGGAACGACGCCCGGGGCGGGCCCACGACACGTCTCCGCGTCGTTTATCGACGCTCGGCGCACGGAACCATCGCATGCGTACGTCTCCTCGACGAATTAGCCGCGCGCCGCGCCGCGGCGCCGCCCGGGCTGCCCCGGGCCGGGCTGCCGCAAAGGCTCAGATGTGGGAATTTGGCGGTTCTGCGCCGTTCTGCAGCGGCGCGCCGCGTTTTGCTCGTCGCGCCAATCGTTTCCGCGACGGACACGAGAATGCTGCGCCCGCAGGCAGCGCGCGCTCCGAGACACATCGCAGCGCGACGACAGACCGCGGCCCCAGCCAGATGGTGCCGTATAGTTGACGTGGCCTTGAATCAGGCTTGATGGTGCTGTGCTGGCGTCCAACTCTCTCGACAAGCCTCAAAAAAACTGCGCTGGCCACGACCTGTACTGCGCGCCGCCCGCGTCCGTCGCCGCTGCGCGCGTGCTTTCCCCTCCATTCCCGCCTCCCTTGACACACGCCGCGCAGGTCAAAATGCAGCAGCCCCACGAGCAGATCGACGAGCCGCCCGCGGAGCCGGAGCCCGAGGCCGAGGCCGAGGCCGAGGAGCCCGAGGCGACGCCCCAGGGCGTGCCGCCGCCGCCGGCCAAGAAGCAGAAGACGGCGCCCGCGAAGATCGTGATCGTGACGCCGGACCTCGAGGCCATCATCAACGACGGCCAGCGCAAGCTCGCGCGCAAGATCGCGCAGCACCCGCTCTCGACCGGCGCGGGCGCGGGCATGATCGTCGCCGCCCTCGACATCTGCGACCACACGTTGTCCAGCGTCGACATCATCGCCGGCGCCATGGTCAAGATCACGAACTCGATCGCCACGGCCGAGGCCATGGACCGCAAGCTCACGGCCGAGAAGAACATCACGCTCGAGGGCGAGGTCAAGCACGCGAACCTCCAGAAGCAGCTGCTGAACGCGCGCGTCGCGCTCGCGCGCCTCGAGAAGCTGCGCCCCGCGCAGACGAGCGCGTGGCTCGCGCGCCTCGGCGAGATGTCGCCGTCGCAGCTCATCTTCGACCTCGCGAACAAGAGCGAGCAGCAGCTCCTCGGGCTGCAGACGTACAAGGGCCCCGAGGCCGACATCCTCGGCGGCAGCCTCGGCGGCGGCGGCGGCTCCTCCGGCGGCGGCTCCTCCGGCGGCGGCGACGGCCCCTTCGACGCCAAGATCGAGAACAAGGAGACGTTCAAGCGGGCGACGCGGAAGATCAAGAAGCCCGACGGCGAGCACATCACCGAGGACCTCCAGGCCGCCGCCAACCCGCGCCAGGAGTAGGGCGGCCGCCTCCCATCCCCCCTCCCTCAGCCCCCAATACCCCTCAGACGGGCGCCCCACCGATCCCAAATCGGGCGGGCGAGGAGTAAGCAGAATTTCTTTACACCCCCACCACGTCCCGCAGCCGCGCCGCCCAAAGGCTCTGCAACAACAACAACTGCGCCTTCTCGTCGTTGAGCTTCGCCGCGGCGGCCTTCGCGGCCTCGACGCGGCCCCAGAGCAGCAGCCCCCTCCAAGCCTCGAAGGCGCCCCTGGCGCCGAGCGTCGCCCGCAGGCCCGGCCGCCGGGCCGCGAGGAAGCTCCGCACGTGCTCGGACCGCCGCGCGTCCCGGAGCCGCCAGAGGTCGTCGGACGCGTCCGCGGCGTCGTGCGCGGCCTGGGCGCGGACGTCCGCGCGGCGCCGCCACGTGCGGAACGCGTCGCCCGTGCCGCCGGCGCGGTCGCAGGCGACGAAGAACGCGCGGAGCCTACGACGTCGGCGTCGGGAGCGAGCGACGGGAGAACGAGCGTAAATCAGCCGAAACGAGTGGAAAACGGCCGAGATAGGAGCCTTTGAAGTTGGGGCACCCTTTCGCGACGCCGCCTCCGCGCCTCCGCAGCTTGCCCCGCCGCCCGTCGCCCGCGGCGCGGATCGCGTCGAAGCCTGTCGTTGAAAAAAAAATCGAAACCGACCGCGAAACGAAAGACGCCGCGGAATCTCGCCTCGCCGCGGCGCGCCGAGGCGGCAGAGGCGCCCCAGCAGCAGCGTCGGCAGCGCGCGGTAGAGCGCGTCGGCGGCGCGCCAGGTCGCGAGCGCGCGGCCGAGGCTCGCGCGCGTCGCGCGGCGGTTTCGGGAGACGAACTTCAGCGCGAAGCGCTTCTTCGCGTCGCGCCGCCGCCGCAGCGCGCGCGCGCCGACGGCGCGGAAGCCCCGCGTCAGCCCGGCGCGCCGCGACGCCCCGTGCGCCCGGTCCGCGAGCTTCGTCGCCGACCGCAGGAAGACCTGTGTGGAAATCAACCACTGGTTTGGGACGTCCCCACCAAACTTTGAAATCAGCCAAATCGAAGTCGATTTGGCTGATTTTTGGATGAATCGATTGCTCTCGTCGAGTTCTCGAAGCACAGCCGAACAATTTGTTCGATTACGCGCACATTGAAGTCGGGTTGAAGATTTGATTTCTACGCAGGGAAGACCTGGCGCTTCGCGGCGAACTCCGTCCACGTGCGCCACCGCGCGAAGGCCCGGTGGGCCGCGCGGCTCCGGAGGCGGCAGCGGCCGAGCAGGCGCACGGCGACGATGGCCTTGGCCCGCCGCGCGTCGGCCTGACAGCGCCAGTGGAGGAGCGCGCGCCGCGCGAGGGCAGCGGCGAGCGCCGTCGCGTGGTAGGCCCGCGCGCACGCCGCGACGGCGGCGCGCCGCAGGTTCCCGCGGTGCCGCAGGAACGTCGCGGCTTTGATGGACGCGTCGGCGGCCTTGGTCGCGTCGTCGCTCCAGAAGGCCTCGTCGGCCGCGTCGTCCCTGGCTCGCTCCGCGTCCGCGCGCGCCTGCGTGGAAATCAAATCTTCAACCCGACTTCAATGTGCGCGTAATTGAACGAATTGTTCGGCTGTGCTTCGATGAGAGCAATCGATTCGTCCAAAAGTGAGCCGAATCGACTTCGAATTGACCGAGCTAAAGTTTGGTCGGGACGTCCCAAACCAGCGGTTGATTTCCACACAGGCACCCACCTCGTCGGCCCGCTCGGCGGACGCCTCGGCCTCGTCGCAGCGCAGGCGCCGCGCGGCCGCGTCGCGCTCCGAGTCCCGGCGCCGCTCGTCCGCGGCCTCCGCGGCGTCGCGGGCCTCCGCGGCGTCGACGGCGCCGACGGCGCCGCGCGCGGCCGCGGCCGCGGCCTCGGCGGCCGCCGCCGCCGCGGCGCCGCGGGCCGCGGCGGCCTCGCCCGCCGCGGCGACGACGTCGAGCACGGCGCCGAGGCGCGCGCGCTCCGCGGCGACGCGGTCGTGCGTCGCGAGGTCGCGGACGTCCGCGCTCTCGGCCGCGCGCGCGAGCGCGTCCGCCCGCTCCCGGGCCGCGCGGTCCGCGGCGAGCTTCCGCGCCTGCGCGAGGGGGGGCGCTCCCAACAAGACAACGCACGACGACGCCGCTCCCGCGCCGTCGCGAGGTCGAGGGCCGCCGCCGTCGTCGCAAAGGCTGCCGCGACGCGGAGGCGGCCGGCGAGGCGCACGGAGTGCGTCAGGCTCCCGAGCCCCCACTTGAGGAGCCGCGCCTTGCGCCGGTCCGCGCCCGCGGCGCGCCGCCGGCGCCCCGCGGCGCGCCGGTCCCGCTCGGAGCCGAGCTTCGCGAGGCCCATTCGCAGGCGGCACCTGCGGGCGCGCTCGCGCGCGCGCCGCGGGGCGACGGACGCGGGACGGCGGACAGCCGCATGGCCTTGTCCTGGGCCGCCGTCTCGCGCCAAGCGCGGAGGTGCCTACGAAGAGTGCCGTCGGTTCCCCGGCCGGGACGTGGGTCTCGGCGAGGCCCGGGCTCGCGGTAAGCGACTCCAGGCCGGGACGCCGGGACGTGGGTCTCGGCTAGGCCCGGGCGGCCGGGACGCCGGGACGTGCGCGGCGCGGCAGCGGACCTCGCAGCGGCCGTGGAAGGCCACCTCGCCGTCGGCGATCGCGGACCGCCGCCGGAACGCGCGGACGCCCCGCGCGAGGCGCCGCCGCGTCGCCGCGCCGTCGAGGTTGCGCTGGACGCGGCCCGCCTAGCGCCGTCGGTTTCCCCGCCGAAAATCGCCACGCGGGACACCGCGTCCCGCGAGCTCGCCGGAGCGCGTGGCCAGCGCCTCGGCCTCGCCGAGCGCCGCGACGGTGCTTCGCCACCGCAGCAACGCGCCGCGCCGCTCGCGCACCGCGCGTCGCCGCCCCGCGGCCGTCGCGACGGCCGCGGCGACGCGGCCCCGCCGCACGCGTCCCGCCCAGGCCGCCCAGGCGCGGCGCGACGCGCCCCGCGCGGCCGCCGCCGCCGCCGCCGCGAGCGCGCGGCGCCGCGAGCGCCTACCGAGCGCGCCGATGTTTGCTCTTTCCGCGAATTCGTCGAGGACGCCGGCGAGCGCTCGAACCGGAACCAGGGCAGGAGCCGGGAACCCCAGACTCGTCGCAGCGCGCGCAGGCCGTAGCGCCGCGCGCAGCGCCGGGCGAGGCCGCGCCGGCCGTGGCGCGCGACGGCGAACCAGACCCAGCGGCGGACCGCGAGGCGCGCCGCGAGCCGCGCCTTGCGGTGGAGGAGCCGCCGCAGCGCGCCGACGAGCGCCGTGGCCCGCTTCAGCCGGAGGAAGGCGCGGCCGCGCTCCCGCCGCAGGAACGCCTCGTTGATCAGGCGCGCGGACCGCGCGGCCGCGCGCTCCGTGCGATCCAGCAGCCAGCCGAACTTGAAGGCGCGGAACCCCTGGCAGACGTCGCGCGCCTTGGCCGCGCGGCGCGTGAAGAGGAGCCGGAACGACGCGATGACCTGCTTCTTCGAGATCTCCTGCTGCTGCTCCGCCGCCGCGGCGATGGCGGCCTGGATCTCCTGCTGCTCGCGCTGGTACGCCTGCTCCTGGGCGTCCATGGCGTCGATGTCAAAGTCCTCGGGCTGCGGCGACGCGAAGCTCGTCGGCGTGAAGGGCTCGCCGCCGTCGTAGGCGAAGGGCGGCGCGCCGCTCGGCTCCGGCGACGCCGGCGTCGACATCATTGCCAAACTGTGGAGGCAGCCCGCGGCTCGACCGGCCGCAATGGTCAAGGAGTTTTTTAAGTATCCTTCGGTTGAACCTCGTCGGAGAGCGCTGGGGCTTCGGCAGCCCGACCGTGAGGCGCGGGCCGCCGCGGCGGCGAGACGACGGCGCCGGCCATGGGCATGGACGCGCAGCTGTCGGCGATCCTCGGCGACATGGAGACGTGGCAGCGGCCGCCCCCGAGCCGGGGCAAGGACAGCGACGCGCGGCGCGACGGCGACGACTACAAGCACCGGCCGTCCTTCAGCGGCAACTCGCTCGAGTTCCTGCCGCCGAGCTCCGGGCGGCCGTCCCTCGCGCGGGCGTCGACGCGCGGCAGCCTCCGGGGCTTCGACAACGGGCAGCGCGCGTCCGTGCGGTCGTCCGTGCGGTCGCAGGGCGGGTCGCGCGCGTCGCTGCGGAGCCCGAACCGGGCGTCGCTGCGGAGCCCGAACCGGGCCTCGGCGCGGACGCCCGGCGGCGCGCTCCCCGGCCCGGCCGCCGCCGCGAACCCGGCGCCCGCGCGCCGGTCCACGCGGCGCCAGTCGACGAAGCAGGTCGGCGTCGAGAAGCAGCTCGCGCGCGTCTACAGCGTGGCCGTGGACCTGCCGACGCCGTCGCCGTTGGGCCGGCCGAGCCGCGTGCGCAAGTCCATGCTCAAGCCGAGCCCCTACGCGAGCAGCCCCGACCCCAAGTCGCCCGTCTTCGGCGGCGGCCGCGGGAGCGACGACGACGACGACGCGCGCCTCTTCTCCCTCGAGCGGCCGTCGCTGACCCAGGGCAGCCTCCAGTCCTTCGCCGTCTCCGCCGGGTCGGCGTCCGCGGCGCCGCCGGCCGTGCCCACGCAGACGCCGCAGGCGCGCAAGTCCGTCTACGCGCGGCGCGTGACGACGCGCGCGCGCAAGTCGACGATCTCCCGCGGCAAGGGCGACCCCTCGAAGGCCAAGTCGGACCTCGCCGCGGCGCTGGGCGGCCTCGAGACGCCGCGGCGCGGCCTGCCCGCCGCGGACGGCCGCCCGCGGACCGAGCCGTTCCGCCGCGACGACGCGCCGCTCGTCTTGGCGTCGCAGACGGTCAACGACCAGCTCGCGCGGCGCCTCCTCGACACGCCCGACGCCGCCGCGGGCTTCGGCGAGGGCCGCGGCAAGACGCCGGAGTCGAGCCTCGCGGCGTTCCCGGCGATCCTCCAGCCCGAGGGCTACGAGCGGCCCCGGTCGCCCGACTGGAACCACCCCATGGGCGTCGTGCGCACCGTGAGCCGGGGCCGCCGCGGCTCCGACGTCGCCATGTCCATCCCCGTCTTCACGGCGACGGAGGACGACTACGGCGACGACGAGCACATGGACGACGACGAGTACGCGGCCTTCGTCAAGCGCGCCGAGAAGGCGCTGGGCATCAAGGACGACGGCGCGCCCAAGGACGACGCGCCGACCGCGGCGGACGCCGCGGCCTTCCAGCGGCGGCTCCGCGACGAGGCCCTCGCGGCCGACGAGCCGAGCGCGGAGGCGGCGGCCGCGTACCAGCGCGACCGCGCGGCCGCGGCCGCGGCGTCGCGCGCGGCCGACGAGCCGAGCGCCGAGGAGGCCGCGGCCTACCAGCGCGCCCGGGCCGCCGAGGCCGAGGCCGACGCGGTCATGACCGCGCCGCCGCGCGACGACGAGCCGACGGCGGAGGACGCGGCCGCGTACCAGCGGTCGCTCCGCGAGCCGGACAAGGCCGCGCTCGCGGCGCCGGAGGCGAGCGCCGACGACGACGCCGACTTCGAGGCGGACACGATGGCGCGCATCAACGCCGCCCTGGGCATCGACGACGACGACGACTACGGCGACGACGACTTCGACGAGCCCGCGGCGAAGCCGGCGGCCGCCGAGGACGCCGCGGAGCCGCCGGCGGAGGCCGCGGAGCCCGCCGTCGACGACTACGAGGACGACTACGACGACGCCTTCGAACCGGCGACGCCGGCTACGCCGGCGGCCCGGGAGAAGCAGGAGGAGCAGCAGCCCGAGCCCGTCGTCGAGCCCGTGGCGGAGCCCGTCGTCGAGCCGGAGCCCGTCGTCGAGCCGGAGCCGGTGCCTGAGCCGGTCGTCGAGCCGGAGCCCGTGCCCGAGCCGGTCGTCGAGCCCGAGCCCGTGGTCGAGATCGCCACGGAGCCGGAGCCCGTGCCGGAGCCGGTCGTCGAGCCGGAGCCCGTGGTCGAGGAACCCGCGGTCGCCGCGGAGCCCGCCGTCGCCGCGGCGCCGCCGGAGCAGCGGCCGCCGAACGCGCTCGCGCCGCTGCCGATGCCCGTCGCCGCGCCGCCGCCCGAGGCGCCCGTGGCCCTCGAGCCCGCGGAGCCCAAGGCGACGCAGCTCGCGCCCCTCGTCGGCGCGCCGTCGCCGCGGCTCGCGGCCGCGCTGCCGCCGTCGGCGCTGTCCGCGCGCGCGCCGCTGCCCGCGCCGCCCGCGCCCGCGCCCGAGCTCGGGGCGCCCGGCGCGCGCGCCGCGGCCGCGGAGGCGCCGGCGCCGGCGCCCGGCGACCGCTCCTGGGCCCTCGTCGAGGAGGGCCGCTCGACCTGCGAGGCCGCGCGCCGCGCCGCCGTCGACGACGCCGCGGCGTCGCTCCGGCGCGATCAGGACGACGCGGCCCTGCCGCCGCGCACCTGGCCCCTCGCCCTGCGCACGGCCCTCGCCGGGAACCAGGGCTTCGGCCTCGCCACGGTCCGCGCGCACCCGGCGGACCGCCGGGCCTACGTGTGCGCGGTCTCCGCGTCGACGGGCGCGGCCTTCGCGCGGACCGTCGACGGCGACGACGTCGCGGCGCTCCTGCCCCCGCGGGCCCGCGCCGCCTACGCCCGCGCGCCGGGCAACAAGGGCCTCGACCGCGACACGGGCCTCTGCATCGTCGCCGCGCTCAAGTTCGCCGACGGCGCCTTCTCCCTCGAGCGGTGTCCCTAGCGCCCCGACCCCCTTTTTACCCGCTGGCCATCGGTAAGATCGCTGGCACAGTACAGTCTTAAGTCACCGGGCGGCCCTCGAGCGGTTCTGAGCGAGCTCTAGAGCCAGGGTCCTCTCGCGCGCCATAGCCGCGCCATAGGCGTCGCGGCGCTCGCGCTCCTCGGCGCTTTCGTGTGTGTCCTTGCACGCTGCCTCGCAGAAATCCCCGCTCCAGAAACCACTCGCCCGCGTTCCGAGCTTGCCGCATTGAATGCACTTGATCTCCGGGCTCGGGCTCCGTTCCCGCCGCCGAGGTGCCGCCGTTCGCTGGACTTTCGATGCCTCGGGCGCGGGCGACTCCACGGGCGCCGGTGCCACGGACTCGCCGAGCTCCCCGGGCTCCGGGCTGCTGCGGGGTCTCGGCGAACGAGGCGACGAAGACGGGGACGCGGAGACGACGCTGCCGCTGCCGGGGACGAGGGCCACGCGCGAGGCGCCAGGTCGTCGACCGTCGGAGTTCGCGTAATAAAGCTTGCTCTCACCACAGTGCTCGATAGCGGACTTGATGATGGAACCAGATTGGCTATGTCTTTTGAACTGCGGGTAATCAGAGAGGAAATCGACGAGACCCGAGGAAGACACTTCAGTCATGCGCTTCGAAACGAGCCACGCGTGAAGGTCATTAACGAGTTGGCGTTCTTGCGCCTCGACACTCGACATCGTCAGTTCAAATTTACCGTATCGGTTGATCTCTGAAACTGAGCAGCAGACCGCGCTGTCAACAGATAGATGCTGAGCAAAATCGACCATCGGAGTGCCGCCTGGACCGATCCGAGACATGGGGACGAGGCCTGCACCAAAGGGCCCTCGAAGCGCCACCAAGGCGCCGACGTTCGGAAGCAGTTCTGTGATAACACCACGGTGGATACTGTTCAGCTGCGGTACTTGCTGTTCGCTCAGATCAGCTTTGGCTTCGACCACCGAGGGCCGCGGTGCGGGGCCGAGTTCAATCCGCCCAAATCCTCGAACATCTTCAGACCAATGTAGCTTGGGGGCACCAAAGCCGACGATAGTGTGCTTGATTTTAATGCCTGTACCTTTCTTGTACTGCGGATGAGCGGAGAGAAACTCTGCGAGATCTGGAGCGTTAATACAAGTCTGGCGCTTCGAAACGAGCCACGCGTGAAGGTCGTTGACGAGTTGCCGCTTGAGAGCGTCGCCGGCTGCGGTTCCGCTCGCGCTGTCCAGCGCAGGCACGTTCAATTGGCTCACGACAGAATTCGAAGGCGCGCCACGCTCCTCAAAGGCAATATTGATGCGCTCGAGCGCGACCCTGAGCGGCACGATCTGCGACTCGAAGTCGTCCAAGCTCGATACCGCGAAGCCGTTCACAGCGACCACCACCATGCCCGCGCAAAGCAAAGGGCAGGCCGTCGCCTGCGACCCGTCCTGAACCTTCGTGACCACGAGCCGACCCACGTCGCTATCGAACTCGAAATCGAAGCCCAGCTCGCGATCCGGAGCGAAGCCGAAGGACATGCGCGACGTCGGTTGCTGTGCTGAAGGCAGATAGCTGCTGTGGCCAGGAGTATCAATGGCGCCGGCGTGCGATACAAGCGAAGGCGCATGAGGCACACGAGGGCCGCCGACATCATTCGGAAGCCGGTCCTTGATCGAAAAAAGTAGCGCTCCTGTGCTCTGATCGACATTCGACATGGAAACCTCGATCTTGCCGCCGGGCTTGATTCCTAACACGGAACAGTAGACCTGATCGTTGACGGATAGGCACTCGGTGATATCGTGAACCCAACCGCCGCCCGGGCGGATGTGAGACACGTGGACCAAACCATCATCGTAGGGCCCTTCGAGTCGGACAAAGGCGCCAAACCCCGGAAGAAGTCGAATGACGACGCCACGGTGGACGCTGTCCAGGGCTGGCAACGCGGTCGCTCCAAGACGAGGCGCAGCAGACGTGAAACGCGACGGCGGCGGAGCTCGTCGCATTGGGCCTGCGCTCCGGCTCCGGCTCCGGCTCCGGCTGCGACTACTGCTCGAGCTTCGACTCGAGCTCCGGCTTCGCCGCCGCCGCGAGCGCGAGCTCGAGCTTCGACTGCGACTCCGTCGGCTCCGCCGCCGCTCCGGACTCCGGCTCCGGCTTCGCTTCTGCGCATCGCGCTGCGCATCGTCGACGGCCGGCGCCGGCGCCGCGACCTCGTGCCAGACGACGGTCTGGGTCTTGAGTCGCTCCGAGATCAAGTCGTCGAGGGCCTTGTCGGCGTCGTCGATGTTCTCCCATTCGCAGAGCTCCTGGACAATTTCGACGGCGGCGTCCGGCTCGAGGAGGAGCACGAGATCGCGGACGGTCTCCAACTCAAAGTCGCTCACGCGGACCTCGTGGATCGCGCGGAGCCTCACGAGCGCCGCGTCGACGTCCTTGGGCACGCGGACGACCTTGATGTCGGGCTCGTCTCGGAAACGCTCGACGCTCGCGAGGGCCCACGAGGCCGCGTCACGCACGGGGCCGCGGCTCGTGCGCCGAGTGATAGCGTCGCGCAACTCGGTCGCGCGGGATGGGTGCAGAAACTTGACGAGTCTCATAAAGGCGCGCTTCTGTGAGTCGTCCATGCTCGGCGGCGGGTAGCGGCTGCCGTCGGTGGACGCTCCCGACGGGAGCTGCTTCAACTGCTTTTCGAGGCGGCGCTCCGAGTCGGCGAGTTGCTGCTCCTTTTCGACAACGAGCGCCCGTTTGGCGACGGCCGGAGGCGGGCGCGGCGGGGCCGCCTTGACGACGGCCGGAGGCAGCCGCGCCTTGACGACGGCCGGAGGCGGCCGCGCCTTCACGACGGCCGGAAGCGGCCGCGCCTTCACGACGGCCGGAGGCGGCGCGGCCGGTTTGACGACGGCCGGCGGCTCCGGCGAGAGCATCGGCGCGGCCTCCTCCGGCGGCGGCAGCAGTTGCCGCGCGGCGTCGCCGCCGTAGAGCGCGAAGAGCAGGTTGTCGTTGCCGCCCACGAGCGCGACGACCTCGCTCGAGAGCGCGACCTTGGCGAGGAAGGCCATGCCCGAGGTGCGCAGGTGCAGCCGCAGGCCCTCGAGGCGGCGCGCGCCGCGGGGCACCTCGCGGCCGCGGACCCGGACGATGCCACGCGACACGAGGGGCAGCAGCGCCGTCGACTCGCCGTGGAGGACGACGTCGTGGCGCGTCGACCGTTCGGGGGCGAGCACGAGCTCCGAGGTGGCCGCGAGCGCCGCCGCCGACCCCGCGCCCTCGATCTCCCACGCCACGTCCGCGACCCAGTCCAGGGGGTCCGACTGGGCCTCGCGCCACTGGAGCACGGTCAGCGGCGGGCTGTTCTCCTCGGCGGGCCGGCCCGGGCGGCTGCGCCACGCCTCGATGGCGCGCTTGAGCGTGATGTTGCCCGCGACGACCGGCGGCCCGTCGAACGCCGCGTTCGTCTGCGGGTCGACGCCGGGCCGGCGCTCGAGCGCCTCCATCAACGAGGAGCGCTCGTAGGTGATGCCCGACGACACCAGCAGCACGGGGTCGCGCATCACCTCCAGAGTGATGCTGCATTTGAAATCATCTGGACACTCTTCGCTGTCGCGGCGCGCGCGCCGCTCCATGCCGGTCGCGGCGCGAACGAGGCGCGCGTGGAAAGGACACACGCCCGCACGATTCGACGACCCGCGGCTGAGGGCACTCGGCGCTGCGACGCGCGGTTCGCACGATCACGACGAGCCGCGGCTGAGGGCACACGGCGCTGGGCCGGTTCGCACGACTCGTCCTCGTCGAGGCTCGAGTCGACTCGACCTCGAAGATCGGCGTCAACCAACGAGTTGCAGGTAAAGTTGCCATCAACAAAACCAGCTCGAGGCGTTCGATGGGCCAAGCCACACGCTTCTGAGCCCTCTTTTCTACCCAAAAAAAAAACACCGACTCACCTTATCGCACCATGTGCCCGAAGAAGGCCGCGGTCGCGTTGTGCCGGAGCTTGGCGACGTGGGCGGCCTGCGGGAGGCCCAGGTAGTAGCTGTCCTTGTGGCAGCCGTGGTCGACGTAGATGGGCACGGGGTCCGTCGCCGCGCCGTCGGCGGGCCTCGCCTCGCAGCACTTGGGGCCGTTGGCGAAGTGGCGGCGCCAGCTCCGGAAGTTCCACTGCGGGAGGAGCTGGTAGAGCTGGAGCCGGTCCTCGCGGACCATGCGGAGCAGCGCCTGGGAGAGGAAGTGCTGGTCGCCGCCGTTGAAGTCCTTCGTCGACGACTCGCTGCAGTAGAGCGCGATCCAGCGCTGCCAGAGCTTCTTCGTGATCGCGCGCGACGACCAGACGATGACGCCGGAATTCAATTGCGTCCAGGCCGCGGGCTCGGCCCAGGACGCCTTCGACGCCGGGCCGGCGCGCACGGCCTCGCGCGCGGGAACCATGAGCACGTCGTAGACGTCGAGGAGGCCGTTGGAGTCCGTCGCGCGGAGCTGCGTGTAGAGCGTCTCGAGAGAGTGGCACGGCGCCGTGTCCGTGTCGAGGAAGATGGACACCTTGAAGGGCGACGTCAGGATGCTGAACATCTTCAGCAAGCGGCTCGGCGCGAGGGCGTGCGCCTTGCGGCAGGGCGCGCCGTCGGCCGTGAGCTCGCGGTACTGCTTCCACGCGAAGGACGCCGTGACGTCCTTGCACTCCCAGCGGTGCGCGGCCTTCGTGTTCGGCTTGAGCAGCTTGCACATGGCCAGGTCGTCGGGCAAAAGCGTGTTGATGATGACGTGCGGCGTGTCGAGGCGGCCGGCGGACTCCGTCGCCTGGAGCAGGCTCATGTGGCCCGTGGCCGCGTAGATGGCGCCGAGCTCGGGGAAAGCGGCGGCGCCGCCGAGCCAGAGCAGGCACGCGTGCATGGCGCGCGGCGCGGCCGAGCGGCAATGGTGCGTTGCAGCTTCTCACGATGGCAGCCCGCGCTCGCACAATTTGTCCATGCTCTCCGGCCTTCTTCAATATGAAGTGTTGAACTTCAACAAACGAGCGAATTACCAACGCAGAGGTTTCTTAGGTCGGGCGGTCGCCTCGGCTGCCGAGCGCCGAGAGGACCGTGGTCCCGTAGCCGACGAGCGTGTCCAGGAGGCCCCGCTCCGCCGGGGGCCGCCGCGCGGGGAGCGGCTCCCGCGAGGGCCGCCTCGCGGGCGCGCGCGTCGACTGTCGATGTCCCCCGCGCCCCAGGGACCCCAGATCCTCGCGATATCGATGCCCGAGGCGCGACGTCTGCGACGCGCGGTACCGCGCCTTCATGCGAGTCGTCGTCTTCCCGCTGTCCTGCGCGTACTTCGCCACGACCTGCGGCGGCGCCGATCCACGCGCGGCTGACTCGACGGACGCCGCGGGAACGCGCGTCCTTCACGTCCGTGCCCCGTCTCACGTGGTACTCGCGCATGTGGCCCGTCCGCCGCTCGCGGACGCGCACGGTGACCATGTCGTCGCTCGAGATCACGGAGCCCAGCGAGGCCACGGAGTAGGTCGCGCTCGACGCCCGCGACGCGCCGCTCCGCATCGAGGCCGCGTCGTCGTCGTCGTCGTCGTCTGCGGGTCGCGACACGCCCACGGGTCCGACGTCGAGCTGCCGGCTGGAGGCGTCCTCGGGCACGGGGCTCAGGCCCGTCGAGACGCGCTCGGGCGTCAGCACCGAGCTCTTGGGCCGGGCGCCCTTCTTCGCCTGCTCGCTCGCGTAGTCCTCCAAGGGCACGCCCCTCCACGAGTCGGGCTGCACGTACGATGCCATCCCCGGCAGCCCCCACGATGATGTGTCCGAAAGCGCGCTCGCGAGGCGCCGGCGCGCCGCCGCGCGAGCTCCGATGGATTACTTAAACCCGCCGTTCGTTGGTCGCTTCTTCGCGGCGCGGTTCTGCGGGTGGTTCGCCGGCTTCTTGCGGAGCTGGGGCGCGAGGTAGGGGCTCCGCGCGGACGCCGTCGGCGCGAGGTGCCGCGGCCGCGGGGACTCGTCCGCGTCGTCGTCGACGAAGGCCGGCTTGCGGCCCGGCGGCGGCGTGCGGCGGTTGCCGACGAAGGGGTACTGGGGCGGCGGCGGGCTCCGGCCGCCCCGGGGCGCCGGCGACGCGTCCCGGCCCGCGGCCGCGCGGTTCGCGGCGTCGAGGAGCGTCCGGTACGTCTCCGTCTCGCGCGCGAGGGCCGCGCACTTGGCCGCGTCGGCCTCCCGCAGCGCCTCGACGTCGCGGGCGAGGCCCTTGAGCGCCGCCCGGTAGGAGCCGTGGAGGCGCGCGACCTCGCGCGCGTGGTCCGCCGCGGCGCCGTCGGCCCGGGCCGCGGCGACGGCCGCGTCCGCCTCGCCCCGGTCCGCGCGGCGCCGCAGGTCGTCGTAGGTCGACGCGTCGACGGTCAGGATGGCCTGCTCCTCCCAGGGCGGCGCCCGGGGCCGCCCGCCCTGCTTGCGCACCTTGACGACGACCTTGCGCGGCCCCGCGTCCCTCGGAGCGGCCGCGGGCTTCTCGTCCTTCGCCGCCGCGGCCTCGCGGCGCAGCTCGTCCTCCTTGGCGCGGCGGTCGCGGTCGCGCCGCTCGCGGTAGAGCCGCGTCGCGCGGCGCGCCTCCTTCTGCGCCTCGTCGCGCTGCGACGTCAGCGCCTCGAGGTCCGACCGCGCGCGCGCGAGCGCCGCGTCCGTGACCTGGCGGTAGACCTCGTGGTCCTCGAGCTCGCGCCGCAGGCGCCGGATCTCCTTGCGGCCGTTGAGCACCTCGCGGCTCAGGTCCTCGGCGTCCCGCGGCGGGCCCGCGGCGCCCGCGACGGCGCCGTCCGCGGGCGGCGCCGCCCGGAGCCGCGCGAGCTCGGCCCGCAGCGCGTCGGCCTCGTCGTCGCCGGCGCGCGCCGCCTTGAGCCGGCCGATCTCGGCGCGCAGGGCCGCGACCTCGCGCTCGTGCTTCGCGCTCTCGGCCGGGAGGCCGCGGCGCCGCTCGATGGCGAGCTGGCTCTTGAGGTTGATGACCTCCTGCTCGAGGCGCATGGCCTGCTCCACGGCGAAGTCCTCGGCGCGCTGCATGCCGGACGTCGACGGCGTCGCCACGGCCACGGCCGGCGCGCCGGGCGGCGGCGGCGCCGACCGCGACGGATGGCACGCCGCGGCCATCACGAGGGGCTGCGCAAATTAACGTTCGTTTTTATTTTGAAGCCCGATTGAAGCTTAAGCCAGCACGTAAAAACATTTCGGCGCCCAGAACCGGCGCGCGGCTTAGCCCCGCCTCCGCCCCTTCTTCTTGCCGCGGTTCGGCGGCGTGTCGTCGACGGCGACGAGGAGCGTGCCGCCGTCCGCGGCCTCGTCCGCGAGCTGCCTCCGCGCGCGGCGCGCGAAGTCGACGTCGCGGAGCTGGGCCCGGAGCGCCTCGATGGTGTCCCGCGTGTCGCTCCGCACGGCGTCCGCCGCGGCGCGCGTCGCCTCGGCCCGCGCGCGCGCGTCGGCCGCCCGCCGCGCGAGCGCGTCGTGGCGCGCGCGGAGGCCGACGAGCTCGCCCGTCCGCGCGGCCGCGAGCGCCGTCAGCGCGGCGGCGTCGGCCCTGGCGTCGTCGAGCCGCCGCCGCGCGTCGTCGACGGCGCCGGCGCGCTTCGCCGTCGCCGCGAGCGCCGCGGCCCGGGCCGCGTCCGCGGCGGCGAGCCGCTCCTCGTAGTGGGCCCGCTGCTCCGCGAGCTGGGCCTCGAGGATGCGCTCGTAGTGGTCCGCGAGCGCGCCGAACTTGCGGTCCGCCGGCGCCGCGGGGCCGCAGCCGCCGCAGGGCGCACCCGACGCGGCGACGTCGTCGTCGTCGACGCGGTGCGCGTAGCGGTCCTCGACGTAGTCCCAAATTCTCCCCGTCTCCAGCTCCAGCGCGAAGCCGTGGCGCGTCGCCGCGTAGTGGCCCTTGGCGTGCTCCCGGGCGTAGCGGCCGCAGCCCAGCGTGCCGCAGACGAGGCACGCCCACACGGACCGCCGGTCGCCGCAGACGCCGCACCGATCGACGGCCAGGCCGCCCGCGCGCCGCGCCACGGCCGCGCAGGCGCCGCAGGGCGTCCCCGGCCAGGGCGCCGACGGCGGGCCGCCCCGGTCCACGCCCAGGCTCGCGTCCTCGAGGTCCAGGCGGTCGAGGCACGCGCCGCACGCGGGCAGCTCTCGTACCGCTCCGCCGCCGAACTTCTCCTCGTCGCCAAAGGCCTCGAAGCGGCTCGCGTCGACGGCGAGCACGCGGCAGGGCGCGGACGCGTCGCCGACGCGCACGGTCGCCGCCGCGAGCGCCGCGCCGCACGCCGCGAGCGTCCGCGCGTCCGCGACGTCGAGGAGCACCGCGTAGCGCGCGCTGCCCAGGCGCCCGATCTCGGAGACGCGCTCGAGGCCGCCGACCCAGGTGTCGCGGCACTCCAGGGACTCGAGCAGCTCCTCGAGGACCACGGACTCGGGCACCTCGACGACGAGGAGCGTCGCGCAGACCACCGGCGCCGGGTCGAGGCGCTGCAGGAGCCGCAGGCCGCAGGACCCGCAGCGCCGCACGCGCACGTCGCGCCAGGGCCGGCACTCGCTCCACGTCGGCTTCTGGCGCGGCGCGACGAACATGTCTTGGTGCCGCGCGCCGCCGCACAGACGCGGGAACGGCGCCGCTTCGGCTGCGTGAGAGGCGGCCGGGCACGTCCGGGCTCTCGAGGAGCAGGCTCCTCGCCCTGCTTCAACTTGCAACGTTGCCGACCAACTTGACTCGAACGATCGACGCGGAGCGCCGCTCGAGGCGAGGGGCTGCCGCCTGGAGCGCCCGGGAGTGCGCGCGGCGTGGTGTCGCCATGGGCGCGTCGGCGAGCGTGCCGGAGACGGAGCTCCAGGCGCTCGCCGCCGTGGAGCGGGCCGTGAGCATCAGCAAAGAGTCGGTCATGTCGCCGGCGCGCGGCTCCTGGAAGCGGTCCCACGGCGCGTCCAAGTACGCCCTGGGCTCCTGCGAGTCGGGCCTGACCATCGCGTCGCTGGCCCAGAGCTTCCGCCTGTCGCTGCCGAGCCACGTGGGCACGCCCGCCGGCGGGTCGAACCCGCTGGGCCGCGTCGGCGTCTCCGCGCCGAGCCAGCAGCTCGGCGCGTCGTTCCTCGCGTCGCAGGCCGACGAGGCGGACCTCTTCGGCGCGCCCCAGGTGCGCATCCCCAAGCTGAGCCTCAAGGGCTCGGCCTTTGGCGGGCGCGGGTCCTTCGGCGCGCGCGCGTCGCTCGCCAAGGCCGCGGAGTACGAGGACGAGGACGACTGGATCCAGGTCGAGGAGGTGGAAGATTTGTTGGAGGAGTCGGCGGCGTCGCCGCGGGCCGCGCTCCTCAGCGCGAAGAAGCGCAAGATGCCCGGCCTCGCCGTGTCCTGCGGCGCCGACGAGTCCTACTACTTCACGCGGTCCGGCGCGATCGCCGTCGACGGCGTCGCGTCGAAAATCCGCGACAGCGGCCTCGCGCCCGCCGTCGAGCTGCCCGCCTTCGGCGCCGCCGAGTCGCCGACGGCGGCCAAGGTGCCCATGACGGACCGCATCGTGCTCCTCGAGAAGCTCGGCCAGGGCGCGAGCGGCCGCGTGCACAAGGCCTTCGACCTCCAGGAGCTGCGCTTCGTCGCCATGAAGTCCATCCCCATCGTCGAGCGGTCCAAGCGGCGGCAGATGGTCATCGAGCTCCACGCGTTGTACGAGAGCCTCACGGGCGAGGGCGGCGCGGACCGGCGCCACGTCGTCGCGTTCCACGACGCGTTTTCCCACCTGCCGAACGCGACGGTGTCGCTCATGGTCGAGTACATGGACGGCGGCAGTTTGCAGGCCATCGTGGACGATGGGGGTTTACCGGACGAGCGCCTCCTGGCGTCGCTGGCCGCGCAGGCCGCGCGCGGGCTCCGGTACCTCCACGGCACGCGCCTGTGCCGAATTCAAATCTTCAACCCGACTTCAATGTGCGCATATGCGACGGTTTCGACGCAAGGCTTTCTGCCGTGCTTCGAGAACTCGACGAGAGCAATCGATTCGTCCAAAAATCAGCCGAATCGACTTCGATTTGATCGAGCTAGAGAATTCTCAAGTTTGGTCAGGACCACCCAAACCAGTGGTTGATTTCCACACAGGCACGCGCCACGTGCACCGCGACCTCAAGCCGGCGAACATGCTGATTAACCGGCGCGGCGAGCTCAAGATCTCCGACTTCGGCATCGTGCGGCGCCTCGACGGGGACCGGGCGGCGGAGAGCGACGAGGGCGCGGGCTTCTACGACCCGGGCGCGAAGCCCGCGGCCCGCGCCGCGCCGCTCCACACGGTCAAGTCCTTCGTGGGCACAGTGACCTACATGTCGCCGGAGCGCATCGCCGGCGGCGAGTACGGCACGCCCGCCGACGTCTGGTCGCTGGGGCTCTCGTTCTGGGCCGTCGCGCTCGGGTCGCTGCCCGTGCGCGAGACCGACGGCTACTGGAGCCTGCTGCAGTCCATCCGCGACGAGCCGCCGCCGCGGCTCCCGGCGGACGACGCCCGCTGGTCGCCGGCTTTTCGCAGCTTCCTCGAGGCCTGCCTCGCCAAGGACCCGGAGACGCGGCCGCCGGCCGCCGCGCTCTGCGAGGCGGGCTTCTGCGCGGAGGCGGCGCTCCCGGCGGCGCCCGCGCCCGCGGCGCCGGACGTGCCCGACGACCTGCGCCGGCGCCTGAAGCGCCGCGCCGTCGAGGAGCTCCTGACGACGCTGCGCGCGTCCGCGGCGCACCTCCGCCACCTCAGCGACCGCGGCGCGCGCGCGCCCGGCGGCGCGCCGCCGGGCGGCGACGCGGGCGACACGGCGCGCTGGCTCCTCGACGCCGCGGGCGACGACGGCGCCCCGCGCCTCGCGACGCTCGCGGAGCAGCTCGACCTGCCGCTCGACGAGGTCCGCGCCGTCGCCGCCGCGTTCCTCGACGCCGCGCGCGCGGGCGGCGACGCGGACGCGGCCGCGCGGGCGGCCGTGTTCGCGAGCCCGAGGCCGGCGGACTCTCCCGCGACTAAGTCGTGACCCTGGCTGTTTAGTTGTCTTTTCTTCGACGTGATTGCCTTCAACATGACCAAAGTGCCAAAAGCATTGACTCTGCTCGCCCTTGGCATCCCAGCGTTGCCGGCGCGTAGTCGCTCCGAGCCGCTGAGCGCGTCGTCATGCATGTCAACGCCGCCAGGCAGTTCGTGTCCCACTACCTCCGCGCGCTGCGGACGCGGCCGCGGGATGCGGAGCTCTGCGAGGCCTTTGGCGTCCGCGACGCCGCAGCGATGCGGCGCGCGGTGCTCGACGCGGCTGCCCGCGTCGCGTCGCCGGCGCGCGCGTTTCGCATCGCCGCCGGCCCGTCGACGGTCGCGGGCGCGGGCCTCGGCCTCTTCGTCGCCGGCGGCGCGGCGCGCGCCGGCGACGGCCTCGCGCTCTACCCGGGGCTGCACTACCCCGACGCCGCCGCCTGGGCCGACGACGGCCGCCGCGACGCGAGCTACGTGCTCAACCTCAGCTGCTACGACGGCGCGCCGCGCGGGCTCATCGACGCGGCCGCGAGCGCGCCGTCGCGACCGGAGCACCGCGGGCACCTCGCCAACCACCCGCCGCGCGGCCGCGCGGCCAACGTCGCGCCCGCGCCCTTCTTCTGGGCCGACGCGCCGCTGGAGCCCATCAACGAGGCGCGGGGCGCCGCGTACCTCGGGGGCGTCGTCTTCGTCGCGCTCGCGGACGTCGGCGCCGGCGAGGAGCTGTTCCTCGACTACCGCCTCCGCTGGCAGGGCGGGTTCGGGCGCGCGCTGACCACGGGCGAGAGCGGCCTCCCCGAGTGGTACCCGCCGCCGCCTTGAAGTTTGTTGACTAGCCCTCTCGAGGCTAGATCTCGAGCTCATGGTTGAGTGGCAAGTTGCCAGATGTTGACCCACCGGCGAGTAGCTCTAGCCGTCGGCTGCGGCTCCTGCTGGCCCGCGCGCAGCCGCACCCCCGCCGCCCAGTGCCGCCGCGAAAAAGCGCGGCGCCAGCGTCTCACTCGTCGCGCGACCCGCGAAAAAGTGATTATACCTCGGTAGACAGCGAGAGTCTTTGGCATTGACGAAACAATCCGACATTGTCACTACCTCCTTATGATTTTTGCTCGTTCGCTCCTCCGAACCGCGCCCCGCGCCCCGCGCCCCGCGAGCGAACCTTCGTCTCTAGGCGCGCGCGCATCGTCGGTCGCGGGCACCGTCCCGGCGCGTTCCCGCGGCGTCCGCTCCTTTCCGCTCTTCGGTCCGATGACGAACGAACATTACGAGTAGCCTGAAAATATCTTACACAATGTTGAACAAACTATTAGCTCTAGCTAAGGACTGAATCGCGCGCGCGCGCCTCGCCGTCGCTCGCCCCGCCGCGTCGCGCGACCGGGCCGTTTCGCAGGCGCCGCCGCGCGATGGGCTTCCTCACCATCGTGCGCAAGCTGCGGCAGAAGGAGAAGGAGATGAAGATCTTGATCATCGGGCTCGACAACGCGGGCAAGACGACGATCGTGAAGAAGTTCAACAACGAGCCCACGGACACCGTCGAGCCGACGCTCGGCTTCGACATCAAGACGCTCGAGCACCGCGGCTTCAACCTCAACTTCTGGGACGTCGGCGGCCAGCAGACGATCCGCGCGTACTGGCGCAACTACTTCGAGGTCACCGACGGGCTGATCTGGGTCGTCGACAGCGCGGACAAGTGGCGCCTCGACACGTGCCGCGACGAGCTCGCGGCGCTCCTCGTCGACGAGCAGCTCGGCGGCGCGAGCGCGTCGCCGGCGCCCCGCTCTCTCGCGACCGCGCGCGACCGACCGCCGCGCGCGCGCCGCAGGCCTCCTCATCTTCGCCAACAAGCAGGACCTGCCCAACGCGCTCTCGCCGGAGGAGATCTCCGAGCACCTCAACCTCGGCTCCGCGCAGTACGCCAACCGCCACTGGGAGATCCAGTCCTGCTCCGCGCGGACCGGCGACGGCCTCGTCAAGGGCATCGATTGGATGGTCGACGACGTCGCGTCGAGGATCATGCTACGGTAGTCCCCGTAATTTCTTGTTTTTCGTTCACGCATCTCGATCGCCTTTCTTGAAGTGGGGTTTGAAGATTTAAGCGCGATGGCAGCGATGCTGGCATTCTGGATCGCGGCTGCCCAGCTGGTCGCGGTGCGCGCCGCGGCGACGAACCGCAGCGTGAGCTGGTGGTTTGACGTCGCTGAAAACCCAAAAACGGACGCCGCCAATGCGAAGGCCATCGCGGACCACCGGGCGGCCTTCTCGCGCGTCATGCCCTACAACGCGAAGGTCACCCTGGACGGCAACGTGAGCAACTGGTGGGGCCACGACGACGACGTCGCGGCCTGGAACGCGCCCCTGCAGAAGCTCGGCGTGCCCGTGCTGCCCTACCTCATCGACACGTCCAACGCGACGGAGATGCACCTCGTCTACGCGAACGCCACCGCCGTCGTCGCGGACGCGGTCGCCATCGCGGAGCACTACGGCTTCCAGGGCTGGTTCATCTACTACGAGGACGAGTACCCCGCGGACAGCGACCCGCGCAAGAGCGAGAAGCTCGCCGCGTTCCTCACGGAGCTCGGCGACGCGCTCCACGCGGAGGGCATGGAGCTCGCGATCTGCGTCGCGTCCTGGAGCGGCCTCCTCGCCGACTACGGCACCCTCGCGAACAGCTCCGTCGACGAGCTCCAGCTCATGAGCACGTACGCGAACCCGAGCGACTCCCAGTCCATCATCGCGGACTACTTCGCGAAGATCGAGGCGACGACGGGCTCCACCGACAAGGCCGGCGTCGGCGTGGGCATCTACTACGACGGCCGCGGCGGCTACGACAAGGACTGGACCGAGGAGAGACGCGCGCGCGTTCGTCGCGGGCGTCGCCGAGCAGGGCGGCCGCGCGATCGACGTGTACCGGCTCCTCATGGACGGCGAGAGCGACTGGCCCTTCGACGACTGGTGGTGGTCCGTGTTCGAGGACTTCGTCGCGGGCAAGATCTGAGCGCGTGCGACAATCTCGTGCTAAGCCTCTGTTGGCCAAGTTATTGAAGGGGATGCGCGCCCGACTGCGTCCGTCCGGGGAGGGGAGGCAGGCCCGCGAGGGAATCGGGACGGCGACGGCGATGTCGACGTCGACGACATCTTCCGACTCGCCGTCGGGAAGCTCCGCCGCGCCGTGCCCCCACCGGAAGCACGACGATTACATGGTCGGGCCCCGGCTTGGGCTTCACGGCGACCTCGCCTGGTCCGTGGCGATGGACTTCATCGCGCAGCCGATCGAGGCCGTCGACGCAGGTGGACACCTCGGTCTCGGTGCCCGCGCACGAAGCGACCGCGGCCGCCCACCGTGGTCGACGTCCACGACGCCGAGGGCGAGACCGTCGTCAGCACCGCGGTCGGAGAGCGGCCAGGGGTTAGAGGCGCAAGAGACCCGTGAGCTTCCTGTCATTAGTATCGAGAATCGTTTTTTGCACTTCCGGGAAGTTCGCGATGACCTTTCGGTGCTGAACTGGCGGAGGGTAGGCCAGAAAATTAGGATCCATGCGCAATGCGAACTCGATGAAGGATGTATTCGCATCATATCCCCAGGACCTCAGTACGTAGTCCCAGGCATTTATGCTTTGGTTGAGGTTCGCTGAGTTGTATTCAAAGGCAGTAAGAGCCTCGTAAGATGTGCTTGCAACAGTGTGAAATCCAAAGGCGCGAATCATTCCGGCCTGACGTTCGTTCGCGATCAAATCTTCCTTCAACTTTTTAACGAGCGTATCAACATTCAAGTGCGCTACGATAGTTTTGTTGCTTTTGCGACGCCCGAAGCACAGACGCGATGGTTTTCTCGTCGCTAGGTCAATAGATTGTCCATGCTTGGTATCAAAGCAATCACGAACATTGCAAATAAGCCGATCTAGAACATTCTGGCGGCTCATGGACACAATCTTTGAATGATGCTCAACGAGAACGGCAGCCGTGTGTCGGTCGAGCGGCGGTGGGTTTGCGAACCACACAGCGTCCCTTTTCCGGACTGCTTCCGCTGTGAGTCTGATGGCTTTCTCGGATGCCGCCTTAAGGATTCGATTATGTGCTTCAAAACAGTTTTTCTGTGAGTTGAATGTCTCCCAATCTCCGGAAAGATACTTTTCGCTGCTCGGGTTGCATTTCCCACCCCCGCCGAGAGTCTTCACACCAAGCCGGTGGAGGATCCGTCTAGCAATCCCACCACACGCAGTCGAACCGCTGCAGCCGGGAGCGTACAACAATCGCGGAGCTAGATCTTCACGCAGCGCTTCATCCTTTCGCGAAAGTTCGAGCTCGGAGTGCTTGCCCGCGACGATGCCGTCGGGCTTGGAGTGCTTGCCCGCGACGATGCCGTCGGGCTTGGAGTGCTTGCCCGCGACGATGCCGTCGGGCTTGGAGTGCTCGGCGACGACGTTGCCGTCGAACGCGGACCGCTCGGCGACGACGTTGCCGTCGGGCTTGGAGTGCTTGCCCGCGACGATGCCGTCGGGCTTGGAGTGCTTGCCCGCGACGATGCCGTCGGGCTTGGAGTGCTCGCCCGCGACGATGCCGTCGAGCTTGGAGGACTCGCGCTCGAGCTTGGACAGCTCGGTCGCGACGAAAGCGTGAACAACCGACGAGACCATCGGCGGCAGCTCCTTGACCAATGCCGATTCCTCGACCAGGCCGGCCTTGCTTGCCGCGGGCTCCGCGGTCGGCTTCTTGTCCAGCTTGACGCCCCCCGCCGCCGTGGCGAAGGTGAAGGCGCAGGAAAGTACGGTCGCGCGGATGATGACGTGCATGGTCGAGATTGCGGGTGCCTGCGGGGGAATCGACGCGGTTCCGCGGCGACGATCGACGGACGAGGCGCGCGAATCAGGGGTTGAAACCTTTCAGGCACGTCCGCCGACGGCCGGGA